TTTGAACATACAGGTAAAGTAATTTTAGCTGTGGATTGAAAATTGTTACAATTATCATAATATTTTTTCAGTGAGTTAACATGATACACTGTCTGTTTCCTTCTTCTGTCGGGCGTATTGACAACATAGTTCAAATCACTTAATTTTGAATGCACAGTAAAGGGTCCACAATATCTCAAGGATAACGCATTGTTCAGATTAGGCACTAACACAAGAACTTTGTCGCCTGGATTGAATGTTCGTTTACAAGAACTCTTATCATACAGTCCTTTCATTCTCACTTGGGCCTTTCTTAAGTTCTTGTGAGCCATTTCGCACACGGCTTTCAGTCGAACGTGAAAATCGTCGAAGTTTTCCACAGGATGATCGCTGGTACCTGTCCACCGTTCATGTATCAGCTTCAGGGGGCCACGGACAGAATGTCCAAACACAAGTTGAAAAGGCGAGTAGCCTAAAGAGTCCTGGACACAGTCCCTCGCGGCGAAAATGATCCAAGGAACAGACTCATCCCATTGGGTGTTACTGTTAGCGAATGTCCTTAGCATGGTTTTGAGGGTTTGGTGGAACCTCTCAAGTACGCCTTGAGACTGAGGGTGGTAGGCTGAGCTGGTGATGTGGGTAACGCCTAGCTTGGCTAGTGCTTCCTGAAAATGGTGACTGGTGAAGTTGCTGCCTTGATCTGTTTGCACGATTCTAGGTAATCCAAAGGTAGTGAAGAACCGGGTCATGGCTCTGACTACAGTCTTTGCCTTAATGTTCCGTAAGGGAATCGCCTCGGGAAAACGGGTACTTGAACACATAAAGGTAAGTAGGTACTCGTTGCCCGCCTTGGTTTTAGGCAGGGGACCTACACAGTCCATGACGATTTTAGAAAAAGGTTCTTCTAATACAGGAATCGGACTCAAAGGGGCCTTAGGAATTGTCTGGTTTGGCTTTCCGGCCAACTAACAGTTCGTGCAACTTCTACAGTAACGCGACACATCTTTTCTCATTTTGGGCCAAAAGAACAGTTCTTTGATCTTCGCCGTCGTTTTAGTGACACCTGGGTGCGCTGACATTGGATGGTCATGTGCCAGCTTAAGTATTTCATGCCGATAAGGTGGAGGGATCCACAGCTGGTTTTTACCCAACCATGGTTCGGCCGGTGAGGCAATCACTGGTATAGCGCGACGAAAGAAGAGGCCGTTCTCGGAGAAATATTCTCCATCGTCAGATGATAGAGATTTTTCGACCGTTGCTTTGAGTTCCGCGTCGACTTGCTGAGCTTTAATGATGTCTTCCTGAGATATCCTCAGGGGTAAGCCCAGGCTTACTTGACCAAACTCTAATTCCAACCTCCTCTTATCTAAAGCAATTTTAGCCTCTATCTCCTGTTTCTCTAAAGCAACTTTCTCCTTCTCTAGAGCAATTCTAGCTTCTAATTCTACCTTCTCTAGAGTTTTCTCCTCGCGGAGTAACACATCCGCCAACAAACTTTCATCAAATACTCCTTCATTAATGAAATGAACAACAATTTTATCTCTCAACACCTCTGACTTCTGCGTAACAGAATAATCCAATTTCAATTCCTTAACAACACTAACCAAAACTTTTCTACTCAACTACATCTTCAACAGTGGGATTAGCCAAAAAAGACTCCATAACACTAACTTGAAAATCACAACAAGCCTAGATTCTTTAAATTAATACACAGCGTTGGGCCGTGTACTTGACCTCTAAATGTAGGACGTGACACGTCTGCTTATTTGACCTAGATACTCTAGCCTGAGCGCGCGTTGTAAGAACACTGCGCTACTGGATATAAAAACAACTAAATCCAACTAACCTTAGTATTCAACTGATATAACCAACAACTGGAACGACAGATTAAATCCCGGACGAGCCCCCACTTTGTAACGTTGACCTATCTATCAGCCAAATAGAAGGAGAACGTCCCCGGATTCTTTTCTCGGGTCATATGCAAATGCCTTACGGCCTAAGTGGATGAACACTTAACACAACGGCACACTAGGGCTCGAATTTAATGTCTAGGGAAGCTAGTGATACTATTGTAATTAACACTCATCCAATCTACATACGACCTTTTAATCAGCGAACTCAGTTGTGGCAGAACACAAAGATGAACTAGATAAAATATTTAATGTATAAAATATCAAAACACAACTTACAAAATGTAGGAAAAATCACTATCACAGATTTCTACACTGTCTAAAAAAATAGCCACAGGCCACACAACTCTGCTGTAGCTTCAGGAATTACTTAGCGACAAGTAATATTAAACTAGAAGACTAAATCAACTTAAGAAAGCAAGGCACACACAGGTCTTAAGTACTCTCACGTTCAAATGGTCAAAGTCTATAGCCGGACAATATGGACGGCTGCCTGATCAAGGTAAAACTGCCTCGTAGACTGCCAGGTCAAGATAAACTGCCTCGTGTTGCGAGTGTGCAGTGCAATTAAAGACTTCTGTGACAGGGGAGGTTATCCTCAACTCATGTCGCCATTGGTTGGGATAATCATCTGATCAGAATCATTCAATCAGATTTTAATGGAAAATTTCTATGTCTCAAACACCTTAATAAGTCAATGGAAAAACCCCAGGTGTTACACCATCATTCCATATAAGGAATTATACAATGTCAAAATAAAAATGACTCGACCTAAGTAGGTCACAACTGTTCATACATTTGATGACAAAAAACGTGGGTCGGGCAGATTTATGATTAAAGCGAAAAGCACACAACACACGAATTTTGGAAATTTAATGGTGAACGTACCCCCCCCCCTCCCGAAGAAAGTTTACCGCCCCCCCCCCCCCCCCCCGAAAATTTCAAGTGCCCCCCCCCCCCCCCCCCCCCCGGAGAAGAAAGTCTGGAAAAAACACTGAACTTTAGTAATACGACCCTATCATTAATCCCGTTCGATAGATTTTAAAGAATTAGTAAACACTAGCATCTAATAGTTAAGTGCATCCATATTTATAAGTCCCTAGAATGTCCTGAATTAAATAGCTTCACCTCTAAACACACCATGTGAACAAGCGTAGTTCACACGCTAAAACCGTGGACTAGTATCGTTCAAATTTACATTAATAACGTGTACTAATTAAACCAAACTGACATTCAAACTTAAAATTCATTTATTAAAATGGAAATGAAACTTTAAAAATGGTACTTACATCTTTTTTGAAGGCTCTAGCAAGGGTAAAATCCGTTTAGCATCATCGGTCGTCAACCTTTAAAAACTACTCACTCGGGGCTGAAAGTTGACTCGAGGGTTATATGTTTATTGAGGGCACGGCTTCGCGACCGTAAATCAGAAATACTTGAATTTACAACATAAAGTAGTTATAAAAGTGAACTTTACATCGGTGTAAAAATTGAAACAGAATTAGTTTGTTTTCGTGTATATAATATATCGTCATTTAAAGTTTAAAAAATGATTTTTCAAAACGAAATAAACAAGTTATTTTTTCAATTTTATACATCAAACGATAGGTTAGAATTCGCTCTTTAAAATGACATTAAGATTATGCTTCTACAATGCTTCGTCGCGAAGCCGCGACCAAATGCAACAGTGTGGGGTCGATCGGTACACGCAAAACTGTGAAATTTGTTGACGTAACTGATACTTTTCAAACAAATATAAAACACATTCAAACATGGGTTACATATAGATCTAGATCTATAAAAATGACTTTTAATTTTTATTTTTATAGCACAACTAGAAAACGCACTTTTTCGCCAGTTTGAACTACCTACTTGAAGTCAACCGGAAAAGCCAGGGAGAGTAAAACAAAAAAAAAAGAACTATTGTTTTCCATGATAAAAATACACAATGGCAATCTACGGTGTATTGCATAGTATTGTATTTATATTAAATATTATATATTCCATAATCACAACAACACCAAGACTCTAATAATCCAAATGAAAAATAAAAGTGTTTGCTAAATTGCTATTATATTACTAGTAATTATTTCTTTGACTATTTCTAACCATAATGAAACCGGAAGTAATTTTGTACTTATTACACAATTTTATAAATTATTCAATTTTTGTTAAAAAATATGCTTTCTGGCAACAAAAATTTGGAACCATTTGGAACCAGCTTTTCAAATCTCCCTTTAGTCATAAAAGTTCAGAACAAAGACTTTATTTTTTAGTGACCTCTCTTGATTTATTTAGTTATTTTCACAACAAAAATGCTGGCTTCTATGCAACACCATGTTATGTTGCCCATTCAAAAGAGTAAAGGTTTAAACAAGTAAATTTTCTGTCGAATATAGCTGTAATGATATGTCTGCTATTTTTTTTAGGTTCCAACACTATTATCAATTTCAATAGGATACGCTGGGCAGTTCTTATAATAAATCAAATTTGAGTATGCATAAACAATAAATTTATCTAGATATTCTAGATCTACTGATAGGCCAAACCAAAATTAATTAGATTCTAGCTTTTTAATTTAGCTTCACAGATCAGCTAATTCGAGAATACAAGAAATCTATCTAGAGCTACGGATAAACTAGACTTAAGTCGTACGAAGACTGTAGATCTCGATCTATCTAGATCAATTATGAGTTTCTGTAGTTAAATATTTCCTTAATTATTTTATATAAATCTTTGTTTGTTTAGAATGGAATTGGCTAAATTAGGATATAATTTAATATACAATAATATTTGCGTAATTTAACTTTAATATATGATGTAAGTAAATTAACCCAATAATTTTGCGCTTAACTGTATGTGCCAAGCTGGCAGAGATGATAGTGTAATAGGTGCCATACGTGTGGTACAGGTTCATGTCAATGTTAAACTTTTGTATGATTTTTGATAGTAGGGAGGAGAGGGGAGGGGAAAGATAAAAATCATCAAATAAACATTACGTCCTTTGTGGATAACCTCCTGAAACCTACAGCTATCCAAGGATAACGGGTAGTCTAGTAGCATACAAACCTTCACCAGCACAAAAAGGAATGAATGAAATTGTGTGCCCACCTTTCATTTTCTTGAGTCCTTTAAGTTGAAGCCTTTCATCTACAGAAATGTGTGTGTCATCCAGCACACTAAGGCTGGACATAAAATCAATTGTAAAGCCTCTATAGGCAGGCACAAACTGAAAGGTCAAGGTCAGACATTTTAGACAAGTATTGCACTCTGGGTTTATAAGCTTTTATTAAATGATCAAACTATGTACATGGATGTGTACACTTCAAGGGTTTCCCACCCCATCTATCTTACACTTCAAGGGTTGCCCACCCCATCTTACACTTAAAGGGTTGCCCACCCCATCTATCTTACACTTCAAGGGTTGCCCACCCCATCTATCTTACACTTAAAGGGTTGCCCACCCCATCTATCTTACACTTCAAGGGTTGCCCACCCCATAAATCTTACACTTAAAGGGTTGCCCACCCCATCTATCTTACACTTCAAGGGTTGCCCACCCCATCTATCTTACACTTAAAGGGTTGCCCACCCCATCTATCTTACACTTAAAGGGTTGCCCACCCCATCTATCTTACACTTCAAGGGTTGCCCACCCCATCTATCTTACACTTCAAGGGTTGCCCACCCCATCTATCTTACACTTCAAGGGTTGCCCACCCCATAAATCTTACACTTAAAGGGTTGCCCACCCCATAAATCTTACACTTAAAGGGTTGCCCACCCCATCTATCTTACACTTCAAGGGTTGCCCACCCCATAAATCTTACACTTAAAGGGTTGCCCACCCCATCTATCTTACACTTCAAGGGTTGCCCACCCCATCTATCTTACACTTCAAGGGTTGCCCACCCCATAAATCTTACACTTAAAAGGTTGCCCACCCCATCTATCTTACACTTAAAGGGTTGCCCACCCCATCTATCTTACACTTCAAGGGTTGCCCACCCCATAAATCTTACACTTAAAAGGTTGCCCACCCCATCTATCTTACACTTAAAGGGTTGCCCACCCCATCTATCTTACACTTAAAGGGTTGCCCTCCCCATCTATCTTACACTTAAAGGGTTGCCCACCCCATCTATCTTACACTTAAAGGGTTGCCCTCCCCATCTATCTTACACTTAAAGGGTTGCCCACCCCATCTATCTTACACTTAAAGGGTTGCCCTCCCCATAAATCTTACACTTAAAGGGTTGCCCACCCCATCTTACACTTAAAGGGTTGCCCACCCCATCTATCTTACACTTCTAGGGTTGCCCACCCCATCTATCTTACACTTAAAGGGTTGCCCTCCCCATAAATCTTACACTTAAAGGGTTGCCCACCCCATCTTACACTTCAAGGGTTGCCCACCCCATCTATCTTACACTTCAAGGGTTGCCCACCCCATCTATCTTACACTTCTAGGGTTGCCCACCCCATCTATCTTACACTTAAAGGGTTGCCCACCCCATCTATCTTACACTTAAAGGGTTGCCCACTAGAAGGAGAGTCTTGAGTCGAGGCAGTTGGGCCAAGTTTGTGATGGTCTCCTCAAACCCCAGCAGGTTGTTGTTACTTAGGTCCAGGCTCACAAGCTGAGGCCTAGAGGGGATTAGAGGATTACAAGATTAGAGGATTACAAGATTAGAGGATTACAAGATTAGAGGATTACAAGATTAGAGGATTACAAGATTAGAGGATTACAAGATTAGAGGATTACAAGATTAGAGGATTACAAGATTAGAGGATTACAAGATTAGAGGATTACAAGATTAGAGGATTACAAGATTAGAGGATTACAAGATTAGAGGATTACAAGATTAGAGGATTACAAGATTAAAGGATTACAAGATTAGAGGATTACAAGATTAAAGGATTACAAGATTAGAGGATTACAAGATTAAAGGATTACAAGATTAGAGGGAATACCATAATCTTTCTCTGTCTACACTATCCAAAATACTATGGAAATCTTTGGTAGAAAAGTACAAGCTAACATTTCTTTGAACTTATTGTGCTATTGTTATTCTGATTGTGCTCGTTATTTGATTGTGCTCGTTATTTGATTGTGCTCTTGTTATTTGATTGTGCTCTTGTTATTTGATTGTGCTCTTGTTATTTGATTGTGCTCTTGTTATTTGATTGTGCTCATTATTTGATTGTGCTCTTGTTATTTGATTGTGCTATTGTTATTTGATTGTGCTCTTGTTATTTGATTGTACTCTTGCTATTTTGATTGTGCTCTTGTTATTTGATTGTGCTATTGTTATTTGATTGTGCTCTTGTTATTTGATTGTACTCTTGCTATTTTGATTGTGCTATTGTTATTTGATTGTGCTATTGTTATTTGATTGTGCTATTGTTATTTGATTGTGCTCGTTATTTGATTGTGCTTGTTATTTGATTGTGCTCTTGTTATTTGATTGTGCTATTGTTATTTGATTGTGCTCTTGTTATTTGATTGTGCTCTTGTTATTTGATTGTGCTCATTATTTGATTGTGCTCTTGTTATTTGATTGTGCTATTGTTATTTGATTGTGCTCTTGTTATTTGATTGTACTCTTGCTATTTTGATTGTGCTCTTGTTATTTGATTGTGCTATTGTTATTTGATTGTGCTATTGTTATTTGATTGTGCTCTTGTTATTTGATTGTGCTCTTGCTATTTTGATTGTGCTCTTGTTATTTGATTGTGCTATTGTTATTTGATTGTGCTCTTGTTATTTGATTGTGCTCTTGTTATTTGATTGTGCTCTTGTTATTTGATTGTACTCTTGCTATTTTGATTGTGCTCTTGTTATTAGATTAGAGGATTACAAGATTAGAGGATTACAAGATTAGAGGATTACAAGATTAGAGGATTACAAGATTAAAGGATTACAAGATTAGAGGATTACAAGATTAGAGGATTACAAGATTAAAGGATTACAAGATTAGAGGATTACAAGATTAAAGGATTACAAGATTAGAGGATTACAAGATTAGAGGATTACAAGATTAGAGGATTACAAGATTAGAGGATTACAAGATTAAAGGATTACAAGATTAGAGGGAATACCATAATCTTTCTCTGTCTACAATGTCCAAAATACTATGGAAATCTTTGGTAGAAAAGTACAAGCTAACATTTCTTTGAACTTATTGTGCTATTGTTATTCTGATTGTGCTCGTTATTTGATTGTGCTCTTGTTATTTGATTGTGCTATTGTTATTTGATTGTGCTCTTGCTATTTTGATTGTGCTCTTGTTATTTGATTGTGCTATTATTATTCTGATTGTGCTCTTGTTATTTGATAGTGCTCTTGTTATTTGATTGTGCTCTTGTTATTTGATTGTGCTCTTGTTATTTGATTGTGCTATTGTTATTTGATTGTGCTCTTGTTATTTGATTGTGCTCATTATTTGATTGTGCTCTTGTTATTTGATTGTGCTATTGTTATTTGATTGTGCTCTTGTTATTTGATTGTACTCTTGCTATTTTAATTGTGCTCTTGTTATTTGATTGTGCTCTTGTTATTTGATTGTACTCTTGCTATTTTGATTGTGCTCTTGTTATTTGATTGTGCTATTGTTATTTGATTGTGCTATTGTTATTTGATTGTGCTTGTTATTTGATTGTGCTCGTTATTTGATTGTGCTCTTGTTATTTGATTGTGCTCTTGTTATTTGATTGTGCTCTTGTTATTTGATTGTGCTCTTGTTATTTGATTGTGCTCATTATTTGATTGTGCTCTTGTTATTTGATTGTGCTATTGTTATTTGATTGTGCTCTTGTTATTTGATTGTACTCTTGCTATTTTGATTGTGCTCTTGTTATTTGATTGTGCTATTGTTATTTGATTGTGCTATTGTTATTTGATTGTGCTCTTGTTATTTGATTGTGCTCTTGCTATTTTGATTGTGCTCTTGTTATTTGATTGTGCTATTGTTATTTGATTGTGCTCTTGTTATTTGATTGTGCTCTTGTTATTTGATTGTACTCTTGCTATTTTGATTGTGCTCTTGTTATTAGATTAGAGGATTACAAGATTAGAGGATTACAAGATTAGAGGATTACAAGATTAGAGGATTACAAGATTAGAGGATTACAAGATTAAAGGATTACAAGATTAGAGGATTACAAGATTAGAGGATTACAAGATTAAAGGATTACAAGATTAGAGGATTACAAGATTAAAGGATTACAAGATTAGAGGATTACAAGATTAGAGGATTACAAGATTAGAGGATTACAAGATTAAAGGATTACAAGATTAGAGGGAATACCATAATCTTTCTCTGTCTACACTATCCAAAATACTATGGAAATCTTTGGTAGAAAAGTACAAGCTAACATTTCTTTGAACTTATTGTGCTATTGTTATTCTGATTGTGCTCGTTATTTGATTGTGCTCGTTATTTGATTGTGCTCTTGTTATTTGATTGTGCTCTTGTTATTTGATTGTGCTCTTGTTATTTGATTGTGCTCTTGTTATTTGATTGTGCTCATTATTTGATTGTGCTCTTGTTATTTGATTGTGCTATTGTTATTTGATTGTGCTCTTGTTATTTGATTGTACTCTTGCTATTTTGATTGTGCTCTTGTTATTTGATTGTGCTATTGTTATTTGATTATGCTCTTGTTATTTGATTGTACTCTTGCTATTTTGATTGTGCTCTTGTTATTTGATTGTGCTATTGTTATTTGATTGTGCTATTGTTATTTGATTGTGTGATTGTGCTCGTTATTTGATTGTGCTTGTTATTTGATTGTGCTCTTGTTATTTGATTGTGCTCTTGTTATTTGATTGTGCTCTTGTTATTTGATTGTGCTCTTGTTATTTGATTGTGCTCTTGTTATTTGATTGTGCTCATTATTTGATTGTGCTCTTGTTATTTGATTGTGCTATTGTTATTTGATTGTGCTCTTGTTATTTGATTGTACTCTTGCTATTTTGATTGTGCTCTTGTTATTTGATTGTGCTATTGTTATTTGATTGTGCTCTTGTTATTTGATTGTACTCTTGCTATTTTAATTGTGCTCTTGTTATTTGATTGTGCTCTTGTTATTTGATTGTACTCTTGCTATTTTGATTGTGCTCTTGTTATTTGATTGTGCTATTGTTATTTGATTGTGCTATTGTTATTTGATTGTGCTTGTTATTTGATTGTGCTCGTTATTTGATTGTGCTCTTGTTATTTGATTGTGCTCTTGTTATTTGATTGTGCTCTTGTTATTTGATTGTGCTCTTGTTATTTGATTGTGCTCTTGTTATTTGATTGTGCTCATTATTTGATTGTGCTCTTGTTATTTGATTGTGCTATTGTTATTTGATTGTGCTCTTGTTATTTGATTGTACTCTTCCTATTTTGATTGTGCTCTTGTTATTTGATTGTGCTATTGTTATTTGATTGTGCTATTGTTATTTGATTGTGCTCTTGTTATTTGATTGTGCTCTTGCTATTTTGATTGTGCTCTTGTTATTTGATTGTGCTATTGTTATTTGATTGTGCTCTTGTTATTTGATTGTGCTCTTGTTATTTGATTGTACTCTTGCTATTTTGATTGTGCTCTTGTTATTAGATTAGAGGATTACAAGATTAGAGGATTACAAGATTAGAGGATTACAAGATTAGAGGATTACAAGATTAAAGGATTACAAGATTAGAGGATTACAAGATTAGAGGATTACAAGATTAAAGGATTACAAGATTAGAGGATTACAAGATTAAAGGATTACAAGATTAGAGGATTACAAGATTAGAGGATTACAAGATTAGAGGATTACAAGATTAGAGGATTACAAGATTAAAGGATTACAAGATTAGAGGGAATACCATAATCTTTCTCTGTCTACAATGTCCAAAATACTATGGAAATCTTTGGTAGAAAAGTACAAGCTAACATTTCTTTGAACTTATTGTGCTATTGTTATTCTGATTGTGCTCGTTATTTGATTGTGCTCTTGTTATTTGATTGTGCTATTGTTATTTGATTGTGCTCTTGCTATTTTGATTGTGCTCTTGTTATTTGATTGTGCTATTGTTATTCTGATTGTGCTCTTGTTATTTGATAGTGCTCTTGTTATTTTATTGTGCTCTTGTTATTTGATTGTGCTCTTGCTATTTTGATTGTGCTCTTGTTATTTGATTATGCTATTGTTATTTGATTGTGCTCTTGTTATTTGATTGTGCTATTGTTATTTGATTGTGCTCTTGTTATTTGATTGTGCTCTTGCTATTTTGATTGTGCTCTTGTTATTTGATTATGCTATTGTTATTTGATTGTGCTATTGTTATTCTGATTGTGCTCTTGTTATTTGATAGTGCTCTTGTTATTTGATTGTGCTCTTGTTATTTGACTGTGCTCTTGTTATTTGATTGTGCTATTGTTATTTGATTGTGCTATTGTTATTTGATTGTGCTCTTGTTATTTGATTGTGCTCTTGCTATTTTGATTGTGCTCTTGTTATTTGATTATGCTATTGTTATTTGATTGTGCTCTTGTTATTTGATTGTGCTCTTGTTATTTGATTGTGCTCTTGTTATTTGATTGTGCTCTTGTTATTTGATTGTGCTCTTGTTATTTGATTGTGCTCTTGTTATTTGATTGTGCTATTGTTATTTGATTGTGCTCTTGTTATTTGATTGTGCTCTTGCTATTTTGATTGTGCTCTTGTTATTTGATTGTGCTATTGTTATTTGATTGTGCTATTGTTATTTGATTGTGCTCTTGTTATTTGATTGTGCTCTTGTTATTTGATTGTGCTCTTGTTATTTGATTGTGCTCTTGATGTTTTGATTGTGCTCTTGTTATTTGATTGTGCTCTTGCTATTTTGATTGTGCTCTTGTTATTTGATTATGCTATTGTTATTTGATTGTGCTATTGTTATTCTGATTGTGCTCTTGTTATTTGATAGTGCTCTTGTTATTTGATTGTGCTCTTGTTATTTGACTGTGCTCTTGTTATTTGATTGTGCTATTGTTATTTGATTGTGCTATTGTTATTTGATTGTGCTCTTGTTATTTGATTGTGCTCTTGTTATTTGATTGTGCTCTTGTTATTTGATTGTGCTCTTGATGTTTTGATTGTGCTCTTGTTATTTGATTGTGCTCTTGCTATTTTGATTGTGCTCTTGTTATTTGATTATGCTATTGTTATTTGATTGTGCTATTGTTATTCTGATTGTGCTCTTGTTATTTGATAGTGCTCTTGTTATTTGATTGTGCTCTTGTTATTTGACTGTGCTCTTGTTATTTGATTGTGCTATTGTTATTTGATTGTGCTATTGTTATTTGATTGTGCTCTTGTTATTTGATTGTGCTCTTGCTATTTTGATTGTGCTCTTGTTATTTGATTATGCTATTGTTATTTGATTGTGCTCTTGTTATTTGATTGTGCTCTTGTTATTTGATTGTGCTCTTGTTATTTGATTGTGCTCTTGTTATTTGATTGTGCTCTTGTTATTTGATTGTGCTCTTGTTATTTGATTGTGCTATTGTTATTTGATTGTGCTCTTGTTATTTGATTGTGCTCTTGCTATTTTGATTGTGCTCTTGTTATTTGATTGTGCTATTGTTATTTGATTGTGCTATTGTTATTTGATTGTGCTCTTGTTATTTGATTGTGCTCTTGTTATTTGATTGTGCTCTTGTTATTTGATTGTGCTCTTGATGTTTTGATTGTGCTCTTGTTATTTGATTGTGCTCTTGCTATTTTGATTGTGCTCTTGTTATTTTATTGTGCTATTGTTATTTGATAGTGCTCTTGTTATTTGATTGTGCTATTGTTATTTGATTGTGCTCTTGTTATTTGATTGTGCTCTTGTTATTTGATTTTTGCTCTTGCTATTTTGATTGTGCTCTTGTTATTTTATTGTGCTTTTGTTATTCTGATTGTGCTCTTGTTATTGTGCTATTGGTATTTGATTCTGCTCTTGTTATTCAGAGAATGGCTATTGAGTCAAAACAGGATCTAAAGTTTAAGGGAGCTAACACACAACACACACAGATTGAGCTCCCCTAAACTTTCTGGCATATACAACAGTAATGGTAGGGATGACTGTAGAGATGGTTGGCATATCAAGAAATCTTATTACCAGTGGGTGGCTGACAGACAGCTACCTAGTACAGAAATGTTGTTGTTTCCAAGACCTAAATGTTCCAGCAATGGAGGCTTCAAACATAGCTGGGAGAGATCTGTGATGTCATTGGCAAATAATTCAAGAACCTGTACAGTCAAATAACAACATTGTATACATGTGTATATATATATATATATATGATGGAGAGGTAGCCTGCTCCAACTGATGACTATACTGAACAAGAGGTTGCACCCCCTGACAATGTGCCTCCCACATCAGGCTGGGTCTTCTACCTCAGGGTCTCAGCACGATGGTGTAGACAAATTCAACAGCTATCATTCAAGCTATGCAGTTCCGACATTGTTTACAAACTACATTTAAATAGCTGATCTTTAATGAAGACATTGTTTACAAACTACATTTAAATAGCTGATCTTTAATGAAGACATTGTTTACAAACTACATTTAAATAGCTGATCTTTAATGAAGACATTGTTTACAAACTACATTTAAATAGCTGATCTTTAATGAAGACATTGTTTACAAACTACATTTAAATAGCTGATCTTTAATGAAGACATTGTTTACAAACTACATTTAAATAGCTGATCTTTAATGAAGACATTGTTTACAAACTACATTTAAATAGCTGATCTTTAATGAAGACAAAATTATCCAAGGAGTAGGTGATAGCACAACTATAACCTGTTAATGGAAATGTATTGGCACCTCACACAGAAGAGGGGTGGGTAAGGCAGATTTATTTTTTGCAGTAGAACTAGAACACACAGATTAAGTTTTCTTCTTCTTGTGACTGCTCACTTTGTAAACTTTGTTATAGTTATAAACAGTCAGCTAGTTATAAATTATGGCAAATATAAAGAGAAATGGTGAAGAAAAAGTAGAAGACTGTGTTTACTAATTACAGACTTTATGTGAACAACGACTTCAACAAACCTTCAACATTCTACTCGACAGAAACAAGTCAAGATTCTACTCGACAGAAACAAGTCAACATTCTACTAGACAGAAACAAGTCAAGATTCTACTCGACAGAAACAAGTCAAGATTCTACTAGACAGAAACAAGTCGAGATTCTACTCGACAGAAACAAGTCAAGATTCTACTCGACAGAAACAAGTCAAGATTCTACTCGACAGAAACAAGTCAAGATTCTACTAGACAAACAAAACACACACACAAACACATAATTACTTTTAATGTAGGTGGAAGATGCTTAGAATCCACATGATGGATTCTATTTGCCGTCAAAGTAAGTTCCTCCAAATTTTTTAGCTGCAACATTTTTTCATCAATCTCTGTTATCTGTTGATAGGAAATAGCTTTGGGTTAGGGTTAATTGATTGGCTATGGGTTAGGGTTAATTGACTGACTATGGGTTAGGGCTAATTGGCTAACTTTGGGTTAGGGTTAATTGACTGACTAAGAGATCTTAGATTCTTTTAAAAATACCTAGGACTAGAGTTGGGCTAAAGTAAGATTTTAGAGTTAATTACTTTTGTGTTGATATATAGGAAATACACATGTTTATACCCACACATGTGTTGATATGTACAACCCAACTATTAAAAATCTAATTCCCACAATCCTCCCATTGGCTGCTTTTTTGACATACATGCATATATTATAATAACAAATGACATATATACATACATTGGGTGTAGGACAAAAAGGCCGACATCCAAAAGGCCATCATGGACAAAAGGCTGACATGTCGTAAGGCAGACATGTCGTAAGGCAGACAGGACATAAGGCCGACAGCCAAAAGGCCGACATGCCGTAAGGCAGACATGTCGTAAGGCAGACATGCCGTAAGGCAGACATGCCGTAAGGCAGACATGTCGTAAGGCAGACATGTCGTAAGGCAGACATGTCGTAAGGCAGACATGTCGTAAGGCAGACATGTCGTAAGGCAGACAGGACATAAGGCAGACATGTCGTAAAGCAGACATGTCGTAAGGCAGACAGGACATAAGGCAGACATGTCGTAAGGCAGACATGTCGTAAGGCAGACAGGACATAAGGCCGACAGCCAAAAGGCCGACAAACCATAAGGCCGACAGACCATAAGGCCGACATGTCGTAAGGCAGACAGGACATAAGGCCGACAAGCATAAAAAATACTAATATCGCAAAATATGTGCTCCTATCTTGACAACCATCGAAATAAGGCATGAAATAAGGTGAAACGTTCAAGAGAAGAGACGGTGCTAGTTGCTATCCTTATAAGGTGAACCATCGGGTCAAGCGACTGGAGATTGCGGGAGTGTCTTAAATACAACGGATCAACACCTAGATATTGCAAAATGCTGTCAGTGCTGTCTTTCATAGCTCCTTCTATGTCAACGATGAGAGATAATGATCAAAGAACCAAGTCAAAAGCCGCCGGCATCATCACCTACATGCAACAAGGTGGAACGCGAAGAGACAATGCTAGTTGCGATCCTTATAAGGTGGACAATGGAGATGACGGGAGTGTACAAAGGATAAACAGATAGGTGGTGTTACCACCATATTTGGCAAAGAAATCAAAGAAACCGAATGAAGTAGAACAATCGCGTGCCTTGACTGGACCACATGTTAAATACCGACAAACTTTGAATTATATTTGCGAATTGCGTGAAAAAAAAGTTGTATGCTATATTCGCTGGATTCATTAATTCTGTTGTCATTGTGATACAAGTGTGCCAAAATTAATGTTATTTTTTGTTTTTTGTGTAAACTTGTGATTTCCCTATATATGGACAAACATATATCGGCAACAAATCATTGGTTACATCGTGTGTTTCATTTTATCCTATTGTATGTACCTAAGAATATTAATGAGAAACTTAAACAGTCGTATATAATTACATATTTTAGATATTAAACATGTCTCTAATTGTAGTTTTTTGTTTTATAAAACTTGTCGGCCTTTTGTCCGTGTCGGCCTTTTGTCATGTCGGCCTTTTGTCCGGATCCCCATACATTATAATCACAAATGACATATATACATACATTATAATCACAAATGACATATATACATACATTATAATCACAAATGACATATATACATACATTATAATCACAAATGACATATATACATACATTATAATCACAAATGACATATATACATACATTATAATCACAAATGACATATATACATACATTATAATCACATATTCGAATTGTTTTAAAGTATGAAAAAACCACATCTCTGCTTAAAACTGCTGGTGTTTTGACAGCCATTTCTCGAAGTTTTGTTGCCTCATTGCTCCATGAGCAGTCAGCATGCCAGGGAGAAAATGGTGAGATGACAAGTTCTTGCAGTGATTCCACTTTTTCTTTTTCAGCCTGCACTGAAAAGGAAGATTTTAAAATTGACTATTTTCACCTTTAATATTCAAGTGACAGATAACTTAAAGCAGCACAAATACATTTATGAATGTGTTGGATCATTTTACAACTAGATCTAGACAACACTTGATGACAAATCAATCTGACAAATTTAAAGATCAGTGAAAGCCCCTTTCATCAACAGCACAGGAACTTGCAAGAATTGCAGCATGTCCCAGCATGCCAGCAACCCTTCCCGCCCCCCATATATATATATTTTTATATTTATAATGCACAACTGCAGCTAAAATGAGCTTTTAATTTTTTTCAACCCATTTTGGCCCCCTCTAGGGTCGGCGCCCGGGGACATATGTACCCCCCTGCCCCCCCTTTGCTACGCTTCTGCGGCATGCATCACATTGTCTTACTTGCACAGTAGACAACATGAATAAAATATTGCAGAAACTCACTGGGCTAAACATTTAAAACTATTCAATGTCAAAATTATTTTCTCTTAGACTAGTGAAGTAAAAGGTATAATTATTAATAATGGTAGAATGATTAAATTAATTAATTACATTTCAAAGATAGGAGAGATAATTTAAAGGGAAATAACTGTAATACTATCTTAGCTATTTATATTTAATTTCCATTTTCTAAAATTCTTTTGGTGCTAAGGGCCATGGTTTATTTGTATTAAGATTTAACCCTGGGTTTACTAAGGGCCATGGTTTATTTGTATTAAGATTTAACCCTGGGTTTACTAAGGGCCATGGTTTATTTGTATTAAGGTTTAACACTGGGTTTACTAAGGGCCATGGTTTATTTGTATTAAGGTTTAACCCTGGGTTTATTATTTTCTGATCAATTGGTACACAGCTTTAATTAGGGGTCATCCATAAGTGATGTCACGCTTTTTTTGACGAATGTTACCCCCACCCCCCACCACTCCGTCACAGATCGTCACAAAAAGCCAGACCCCCCCCCATCCCTAAAATGACATCACACATCAGCCTACAACCCCCCCCCCCCCCCCCCGGCAAAATTGCAATTTTTCTTAAAACTTCTATATTTTTTCCAAAATCTTTTCTGAACTCAGTCAACATAGTGTATTTTCATCAATTCCTATAACAATTTATTAAAACAGTTTTCTAAAACGCGAAATAACGTCTTAAACTTGTTTTCTAAGATTGCTTTTTATAATGCAAAGGTGTGACTATCACACCATTTATTTGTATTAAGGTTTAACACTATGTTCATTATTTCTGATCAATTGGTACACAGTGTTATGCTAATTCATAGTTCTTTCCTATAGATCAATGCGTAATAAATTTATTTGTAACAATCCTTGCCAATACAAAACCTTAGATACAGCAGTTAGGATAATACCGTTAAGCTTTGTTGATATTTTTAATGTCAAGTTTACGATTAAAGTGATTGCCAGAATCGTATATATCATTGTAAATAATAACCTACAATAGCATAGATTGAACCTAACTGCGTTAAACAAGGTATTTTGTGTACTAATTAAACTTTATCATGGAATGCATATTATCATAGGCCTAAATAAACTTGACCACACTATCGCAAGTGGTGGTCACTTATCTGTCATTTGCATTTTGTCAGTATCATAATAATAGTTACGCTATTCTGTTTGTCTGTCTGTTGGGAACAATATTGAGAAAATACAAGCAAAGTAAAAACTTTCAGTCAAACAAAAAAACAAAGGGTGATGTCACATTAACATAAAGGAAATATTCTAAAGCCAGGAAAGTACACAATAAAATGACGTCATTGGTTCTAGAGTAAACATAGAATTAAAATGCCAATGCCAAAAAACTACACAATAATAATGAATCTTGTTGTTGGACTGGCTATATAATGTAGTCTACATGAATCTTGTTGTTGGACTGGCTATATAATGTAGTCTACATGAATCTTGTTGTTGGACTGGCTATATAATGTAGTCTACATGAATCTTGTTGTTGGACTGGCTATATAATGTAGTCTACATGAATCTTGTTGTTGGACTGGCTATATAATGTAGTCTACATGAATCTTGTTGTTGGACTGGCTATATAATGTAGTCTACATGAATCTTGTTGGTATAACAACCCAGGCTTTAAGTGATTGAAATAGTCGAACAATTGGTAACTACTTACATTTAATGCTATCAGTATCACAATTCTGATCTAAAGTTTTGATTGGCTTTTTGTTTTTTAGCTTCTTCAGTGGAACTTTTTGGATTGGCTCCAGTTCTCGCTTGCATGGATGAAAAAAATTAAAGTGTATTAGGGGCATTAGTGTGCTGGTGATATTGGTGTGTTGGTGATATTGGTGTGTTGGTGATATTGGTGTGTTGGTGATATTGGTGTGTGTGTGTATGTGTCTGTATGATCTTGGTGGGTTAAAGATTTTTGTGGTTATTTAGTATTCAGCTCATAGACAATGAAAATGAAATGACCGCCTCCATCATGTTTGAAGTATACAGCAATTGTTATAAAGTTGCTAAATTGTAATTTGTAAAATTATTCAATTTTAAAGTTGCTAAATTATATTTTGTAAAATTATTCAATTTTAAAGGTACTAAATTGTGAAGTTGCTAAATTTTAAATGTGCTTAATTATTGTTAATTTATTAAATTTTAAAGTTGCTAAATTGTAATTTGTAAAGTTATTCAATTTTAAAGCTACTAAGTTGTGTTTTAAAGTTGCTAAATTATTGTGAAGTTACTTAACTTTAAAGTTACTGAATTGTAATTTGTAAAGGTATTCAATTTTAAAGCTACTAAATTGTGAAGTTGATAAATGTAAAGTTGCTAAATTGTGAAATTTTTTGCCTAGGTAAAGCAATGAAGACTGCATGCAGTGACTCCTCTAGGGTGCTAGAATGAATAAGATCAAAATGACTTGAATTGAAAAAAGAATTGAACATTTGAAATAGTTACCCATTTGCCTGTACCACATGGGAATTCCCAGAGACCAAGAGTTTTGAGATGTTCTTCAACAGCATTAAAAGCTGCCAGTGACTGGGCATCATCGTCTGCTGAGGGCATGTCTGGACACAACCAGATGTCTCTTTGATGCTTTTATACTTGGTAGTTCATCAATTAACAAACATTCAAACAATTCAAGATAGACATTAAAATTAGAAAACTATCTTAGATCAAAACGCAGTATACCTGTTTTGAACAATGCTTACATTATCCTTTTTACTGACAGATTGAAAACTAACCTAGCTTTGTAAACATTTCTATTTTGGTGGTTGTCCATAAGTGACATTCCAATATTCTAGATAATCTAACCCTAATCCAAAATTCTAGATAATCTAACCCTAATCCAATATTCTAGATAATCTAACCCTAACCCTAATCCAATATTCTAGATAATCTAACCCTAATCCAATATTCTAGATAATCTAACCCTAATCCAATATTCTAGATAATCTAACCCTAATCCAATATTCTAGATAATCTTTTAACCCGCTCCAGTGGGGCTACACACAACCATTTGGTCAGTCAATGTTGCTAGCACAGTTGGTCAGTCAATGTTGCTAGCACAGTTGGTCAGTCAATGTTGCTAGCACAGTTGGTCAGTCAATGTTGCTAGCACAGTTGGTCAGTCAATGTTGCTAGCACAGTTGGTCAGTCAATGTTGCTAGCACAGTTGGTCAGTCAATGTTGCTAGCACAGTTGGTCAGTCAATGTTGCTAGCACAGTTGGTCAGTCAATGTTGCTAGCACAGTTGGTCAGTCAATGTTGCTAGCACAGTTGGTCAGTCAATGTTGCTAGCACAGTTGGTCAGTAAACTAAAGCCAGAAATGAACTGGCTATTGCTGTAGAATAAAATGCCCACTGCTGTAGAATAAAATGCCCACTGCTGTAGAATAAAATGCCCACTGCTGTAGAATAAAATGCCCACTGCTGTAGAATAAAATGCCCACTGTTGTAGAATAAAATGCCCACTGCTGTAGAATAAAATGCCCACTGTTGTAGAATAAAATGCCCACTGCTGTAGAATAAAATGCCCACTGCTGTAGAATAAAATGCCCACTGCTGTAGAATAAAATGCCCACTGCTGTAGAATAAAATGCCCACTGCTGTAGAATAAAATGCCCACTGTTGTAGAATAAAATGCCCACTGTTGTGGAATAAATACACACTGTTGGAAAGCATGAACCCATTTCTTTATACCCTATGGTACTTTTTGAACTCATAAGTAATAGTTATGATAACGCAAGCTTAAGTATTTGTCTCATTTATTGTGATTACATTGAGAGCTACATTTGAGCTATTTTACTCTTAAAATGTCCCTTAGCAAATATTTTGATAAATTTTTTTAGAGATGTTTATTCATTTTTTCCATGATTTGTCTTAGTTACACCTTTTTTATTGCTAAAACTTACTAGACTTGACATATTTATATGTATACTAAACATGTTATGGGTATATGAAACATATTCGTAGTTTGTTTATATTAATATGATTATCTCATGGCGCGAGCCCTAAAAGCAATTTACAAAGATCGCACGCTGTTTCGTTTTCATTAAGTGGTTACAAATGATTTTGAAGCGATTGTCAATTTTAGTAACCAAAATTACCTGTTTCTAATTAAGTCTGTTAATCAAGAATAGTTAGGTGTACTTTTGACTTAATATCTTTATTGATCTCACAAGTGGCACTTTAGTGAAAGTACCTCTTTTTATTCTTGTGTTAATGTGACTTAGTCTTAGCTTTCTATAAATGACAATGTCTTTATATATTAACTAGCATATAATGCTGCAATGGTTCAGTCTTAGCTTTCTATAAATGACAATGTCTTTATATATTAACTAGCATATAATGCTGCAATGGTTCAGTCTTAGCTTTCTATAAATGACAATGTCTTTATATATTAACTAGCATATAATGCTGCAATGGTTCAGTCTTAGCTTTCTATAAATGACAATGTCTTTATATATTAACTAGCATATAATGCTGCAATGGTTCAGTCTTAGCTTTCTATAAATGACAATGTCTTTATATATTAACTAGCATATAATGCTGCAATGGTTCAGTCTTAGCTTTCTATAAATGACAATGTCTTTATATATTAACTAGCATATAATGCTGCAATGGTTCAGTCTTAGCTTTCTATAAATGACAATGTCTTTATATATTAACTAGCATATAATGCTGCAATGGTTCAGTCTTAGCTTTCTATAAATGACTATGTCTTTATATATTAACTAGCATATAATGCTGCAATGGTTCAGTCTTAGCTTTCTATAAATGACAATGTCTTTATATATTAACTAGCATATAATGCTGCAATGGTTCAGTCTTAGCTTTCTATAAATGACAATGTCTTTATATATTAACTAGCATATAATGCTGCAATGGTTCAGTCTTAGCTTTCTATAAATGACAATGTCTTTATATATTAACTAGCATATAATGCTGCAATGGTTCAGTCTTAGCTTTCTATAAATGACAATGTCTTTATATATTAACTAGCATATAATGCTGCAATGGTTCAGTCTTAGCTTTCTATAAATGACTATGTCTTTATATATTAACTAGCATATAATGCTGCAATGGTTCAGTCTTAGCTTTCTATAAATGACAATGTCTTTATATATTAACTAGCATATAATGCTGCAATGGTTCAGTCTTAGCTTTCTATAAATGACAATGTCTTTATATATTAACTAGCATATAATGCTGCAATGGTTCAGTCTGAGCTTTCTATAAATGACAATGTCTTTATATATTAACTAGCATATAATGCTGCAATGGTTCAGTCTTAGCTTTCTATAAATGACAATGTCTTTATATATTAACTAGCATATAATGCTGCAATGGTTCAGTCTTAGCTTTCTATAAATGACAATGTCTTTATATATTAACTAGCATATAATGCTGCAATGGTTCAGTCTTAGCTTTCTATAAATGACAATGTCTTTATATATTAACTAGCATATAATGCTGCAATGGTTCAGTCTTAGCTTTCTATAAATGACTATGTCTTTATATATTAACTAGCATATAATGCTGCAATGGTTCAGTCTTAGCTTTCTATAAATGACAATGTCTTTATATATTAACTAGCATATAATGCTGCAATGGTTCAGTCTTAGCTTTCTATAAATGACAATGTCTTTATATATTAACTAGCATATAATGCTGCAATGGTTCAGTCTTAGCTTTCTATAAATGACAATGTCTTTATATATTAACTAGCATATAATGCTGCAATGGTTCAGTCTTAGCTTTCTATAAATGTCTTGGAATAATTCTCAAGTCCATACTTGAGGTCACTATGTCAGAAATATCAACCCCCCCCCCCCCCCCCCCCCCCCCCAAAAAATGCCATTTATTATAATCTTTGTGACTAAAACAAAGCGTGGGAAAATGTGTGCGCCGCCAAAATCCAATCATCTGGCTAGATTTATTAGTCATGTTGCGTTATATCTAATAATAGAATGCATTTGCGCTTTCCTTATTATGATCGTTTTTAGCATTTTTTAAAGTAAAAATATGAATTATTAGTTAAGAATGCAGTTTTTGTATCAAGGCATACTTACCCTATGTAATTTAAAAAGCATGGCATGTTAATAATGTACAAATATTGTCATAAAACACAAAAATATAAAGTTCGATTTTATTTTACTAACATTATTTGCCACTCCTAGGCCTATACAATACTATAGGCTTACGTTCATTTTTTTTTTTTTTAATTGTTTATTGATTGTGTTGACTTTTAGCTATCTACATTCATTTCTAAGATATTTTAATATGCTTCTATAAAGTTTTATTGAAAAATCTTTAAAAATAATCGAGATCCACCCATGAAATAAGGTGACAGGTCTAGTAGTTTTTTTCTTCAATAGCTCATAAGGGGTCATCCATTTATGATGTCCACAAATGTGTACATTAACTGATATTTGATAATGTAATATAGGGATTTGATATTTTCTGTACCTTCCATTACTAGGCCTAAATAATATTTGGGAGTTAAACTTTTCCAGGATGTAAGTATACGGCGTGTTAACTTACCGTGTGAATGTGCTAAGACTATTTAATATTGTACTTTATTGAAAGAGTTATTGCGCTGGGATGCTGTACACTGCCTTTCGATTTTAAAGGCTTTTTTACTCGCTATTTTTCATAAAGAGTCAGAGATTTGCAGACTGTCATAATTTTTTTTTATTGAAGAATCTTTAGATCGAAGTTTTTACTGTCATTCGTTGCTGTCTAGCTGTCAACGAATAGGCCTATACGGGTTCAGGTACATTCGGCTAATCAACATCTCTTCATTATATTACTTTTACTCAACTTTACGCTGCATGTGTTTCCATAACAAACCGCCTCTCCCCCTTTTTTGAGGTCGCGCTGACCATTCACCCTACACACCTGACCAAGCGAGCACATTATACACATGCTGATATTTAAATATATTAATTGTAATGTGGTTAATTTACTTGAAAAAAAATTACTAGATCTTCATCATTTTAAGCTTTGACACAAAATAATGATGTAGGCCTTCTATGATATGGTTGCAATTGTTTGAAATGTTAAAAATAAACCAGAAATACAATGAATTGTTTTAAAAAATGCCACCGTCACTGCCCCATCCCCTCCCACTTGTAAAAAAAAATCGATTATTTTTTTAGGCGAGCGGTATACAGCTACATTTCTGATAAATTTACCATGAGAACTGCTGATTTATTGTATAATCTACATTTTATGTGAATTTTTAAATTAATTTTTAAAAATTATCAAATGTATTTTGTGGTTTGATTCTGCATGTGGACGTTCACATTGACCCATTGCTAAATTGACTTAGTTTACTAGTTTGCTAGCTATTATTGATACTTTTTTTTCCTAAAAAAAACCATTTTGAAATTTTTATCAAAATGCCTAGTAATAATTATAAAATTTGGTAATTGTTTTAGGTGTGTAAAATCGGCAGAGTCTAAAAAATTTGCCTCATTGATAAGGCTTTAATAGAAGTATATTGTGATATATTTGTGTCAAATATTAGAGATAACTGAATAATAAACCAAAATCAATGGCTAAATATATCAATATAGGCCAGAAATTATTTTTAAACAGCAGTGTTTGCGAGCAAGATTTGCTATATAACCAGCGGCCATCTGGAAGTTTGAGTGGTTTCTCCTGAATCTCTAACTATAATTTTACAAAAAGAAGACTGCTAAAGTAAATGAGCTTGGTTGCATCTGATGAAAACATCGCTGGTCTTTATTTTTCAATGAAATTTTTTAATACAACTTATTGTTTAAAAACAGGTACATTAAATTGACTAATGAAACTTTGAAACATTTTTGCAACTTTAAAAATTTAAATCTTTCTTTAAATGTGAAATAATTACAAAAATTTAATGAGTCAACTTTTTTCACATAACTAGACTCGGCCGATTTTACCTACTTATTTTTAAGCGCTAGATTACGTAACTAAACATTTGTCATTATCAATTACTAAATTTTGAAATTAGGCTTAATTATAATTAATATAATAATTAAATTAGGTTGGTAATCTATCGTTTTAGGTACGTAAAATCGCCCGCGGCTAGTAATATACGAAAAAGTTACCTCATTGTGAAGGCTTTAATAGAAGTATATTGTGGTATATTTGTGTCAAATATTATAGGTAAATGAATAATAAACCTAAATCAAAGGCTAAATTTATAAATATAGGCAAGAAATTAACTTTAAACAGCAGTGTTTGCCAGCAGGATTTGCTATATAAAAAGCGGCCATCTGTCAGTTAGAGTGGCTTCCCCTGAATCTTGCACTATAAGTTTACAATAAAAAAAAATAAACAAGATGGCTGCTATAGTAAATGAGCTTGATTGCATCTGTTAAAAACATCGCTACTCTTCATTTATTACTGAAAAGTTTTGATACATTTGTTTAAAACCAGGTACATAAATGAAACAAGGAAACATTTTTGTATTTTTCAAAACATAAATCCTTCTCAAAATGTGAAATAATTATTAAAATTTAAGGAGTCACCTGTTTTTCACATTACTAGTGGCCGGCAATTTTACGTACCTAAAACGATAGATTACCATTAGGTTTTTAGTAGGCTTTTCGATTCGTGAAGTCTTGTTCTCGCGGTTTTGAAGTACCCGTGTTTTGGGCGGCCATATAAAATATCGAATCATTTCTTTCTCATGAAGTACATGATAGTTAAAACTAAGGATTGTATCGTAATCGGATAGATTTTTACTTGAAACTGCCCATGTATTTACGGGGCGAATAATTAAAATTTTAATAATGGAAGCTTGACCTAATTTCTTTATTTGTCTTTAACAAGGCCGTCGAGAGAAAGTCACGCTTACTTAGCTTGCGTTTCAAGTTGAATAAACTAAAGCAGGTGCGTTCTACAATAACTTTATTATAAGATACAATTTGTATAACATCTTTACTATCAAATAAAAATAGAATTGTTTAATATAATTAGGGTGAAAACAATGCTTTTGAGGGTGTAAGTAATAATGCCATTTTATTATATTCTTGTTTGGTGAAAACGAGGCGCGGGAAAATGTGTGCCGCGCAAGAATCCAATCATTTGGCTAGATTTATGACTATTTTTTAGTTCACACCTAAAAATAGAATGTTTACGCTTTCTTCGTTGATGGTTTTTATTATTTTTTAAATTGAAATGTAGTATGAATTATTAGTTAGATTGCAGATTTTGTAACTTGGTATACTTACCCTTTATAAATTTTAAAAACATAGCATGCTGATTGTGAACAAATATCGTCATAAAACACAGAAATATAAAGTTATAATTGCGATGTGCCACACCCGGGCCACACCCCCTCAAGAAAGCATGTGTTTATTAAGCTGTTTATCTCACTTTACAACAGTAATTAAAATTAATTTTCAAATTTTTATCACCTATTGGGTAAGATTAAGCACATGTTTACTAAAAAAAAAAAAAAAATCAAATTCTGTTTTAATGAAGGTCACGGGTCAAGTTTTTTTCCTTCTGTCAAGTTCAGTGGAGGGTGCCACAGGCTGACCTGACTTTGGAATTTTTTTCAGTAATAATGACACAGAAAGTTAAAATATGCTAAATTAGCTTAGTTTACTAGTGTTCTAGCTATTATTGATACATTTTTAATAAAAAATCATTCTGTAATTCTCATCAAAAAGCCTAATTTTTAGGAGTAATTAATTATTTATAGTTGAGTAAGCTTACCTGAAAGTACGTATCCAAAGCAATAGATTACCAAGAAAACTTACGTATCATTTAAAGTGATAGTGGAATAACTATTAGTTCTTAAGTAGGTCTAGAACTAAGAGATAGAAAGAATTTACAAAGTAACCAAAAATGTGTCGAGTTAAATTAATACTATTTTGACGCCATTTTGACGCGTTTTTTGTACACTTCCGCTACTAGGGGGAAAATGTAAATTTAACACCGTGTTTACACTTACGACACAAAGCCCGGCTAAAGTTTTTTTTAGCCCCTTACAGGAATTGCGATTATTAGCTCGTCATTTCCGGATGGATGTGTGTCCGCAGCTTTAACTACTTTAAGTCGTCTTTAAGTCGTATCTCCTCCTCAACGAAGCAATATCGAGGTCTAGTTCCAAAAGCAAATATGTTAAGCAAGTTCCGAGGATGATTGTGGGCCAAAAAAATTCCCGGAATTCCTTCCTAGATTTCCCGGAAAAGCCAAAAAACCTCGAAAAAATGCAGTTTTTGGCCCATATCTCGGCAACCAGACCACTTAGCGACTTGAATTATTTACAAATCGATTCCTGCCATAATTTAGAACAATATTGCCGAAGAAAGTTTTCAAAATAATCCTTTCGGTCACAAATTTTTTTTTAAAATTACAGGATAACATAAGGAAATTGCTCTTAAATTGTCACTAGACTTTTTATTAACTTGTTTATCTAGAAACATTTTGTTACAGAACATGTTGATCGAAATTGCAGTTAAATTTACCTAAAAATACGATATTTTTCCATAATGTTGTCTGAAATCTGTCAACATAGAGTATTTTCATCAATTCCTATTACAATTTATTAAAACCGTTTTATAAAACGCGAAATAACGGCTAAAACTCATTTTCTAACATTGCTTTTTTATAATGCAAAAAAGTGACGTCACACCATCTGAACCACCCCACCCTCCCCCTCATCACTCACCGTCAGAAAACTACGGATCCCCCCTACCCCATATGAGTGTGACGTCATTTATGGACGACCCCTTCGATGATAAAACATTCTATTTTTTTATTAGTTTAATTTGATATTTAATTAATAATTATTCATAAAAATTAATTAAACGGCTTCGAAACTAAAGGGAGATTACAAAATTAAATCTCTCGATAATAGAAGGGGGGAAAACTAACTAGACGCGATGACCCTAACAGTCTGGCTAGCTGTGGCACACGAGAAAATTTACAATCGTAGCAAGTGAAAGCTGGTTGGCGACCTACTTACCAGCCCTATAGGCCTAAGGGGCAGATAATTTACTTTAACTAAGGGAAGGTAGAGTCTAGCAAGATTAAGAACTATCCTTCACTTTATCAGTTTGCTGTTGTCTGCAAATTGTGGTCACGAATGGCTGCATTCACGGCGCTGATAATCATCCTCTAGATAATGCGAGCTACTGATTGTGCTTTATATTTAAAGCAAATATTCTTAGTCTTGTCGACTTTATGAATTGGGGATCACTAAAAAGTAGGGGAAAAAACAAATATTAAAATAAAACTAATTTACTTTCTTTAATATAAAGGCTTTGGTCGCTCAAGAGAGCTTTTCCAGGTAATATCACAATATAGGGTCGGTTATTATTCCGGAATGGTACAGCAGTAAAAACATTAAAACCATGGCGTAGTCTGTCGCGCCGTTCCAGAAACCACCGGAAATACTGTAAACCGTAATTTATTTGGCGCAATGTTTAAAAATGTGCATAGATTGATTTTAGTTGCATTTTAAATAGTTTTGCCAATTATTTTATATTTCTAATTGTTTTACGTGTATATGCTAATTTTTGCTGCTACTAAACATTGTTCTAGTTTTGCTTACTACTTTTAACTTTAGTAAACGAAGTGACTATGGCAAAAGATAGCTCTGCGCATGCGCAGTGACCTATGGCTAGGGTTAGAATTAGGGTTAGGGATAGGATTAGGGTTAGGATTGGGGATAGGATTAGGGTTGTTCTGCGGTTGTAAACAAGCGCATGCGCAGTACCATCGAAAACATCGCCGCGATAAAAAGTCGTAGTTTCTCTCCATTGCGCATCTTTTTCCAGCTAGCATCGTTCTTTAGTAAATCTAATCGTGTTATTAAATTTATCTAGAGTCTAGTTTTCTCAAATATTCTGCAAGTTTTTTTCTGTGTTTCTTAAGAAACATCAATTACTACACACGAATTTATTAATAATATTGAGATCTACTAATTCTTGCTAATTTTCTGTAAATTAAACTTTAATTTAATCCACTTGACTTTATTTTTATTTCAATGATCAAATAAACTATTGTTTACAGTAAATGTTAACGAAACTCGACAAACTTTTATTACCGGATAGTTTCCTAGCCTAAGCTATATTAATGGTGCCCTGTCAAAACGGCCCGGGACAAATCGGCCCCCGTCAAAACGGCCCCGTTAATACGACCCCGTCAAATCGACTCCCGACAAACCGACCCCGTCAAAATAGCCCCGTCAAAAGGGCCCCGACTTATTGGCTCCCGTCTAATGGGCTCCCGTCATATTGACTTGCGACATATAGGCTCCCGACAAATGGGCTCCCGATATTTAGGCTCCCGACAAATGGACTCCCGACATATTAACCCCTGACAAATAGGCTCAGGACATATTGGCTCCCGACAAAGCGGCTCCCGACATATTGGCTCCCGACATAAGGGCTAAAGACAAATGGGCTCCCGGCAAATGGGCTCACGACATTTTGGCTACCGACAAATGGGCTCCCGACATATTGGCTCCCGGCAATTGGGCTCCCGACATATAGGCTTTTGACAAAATGACTCCCGACATATTGGCTCCAGAAAAATGAATGATATGACCACTATTGGCATAAAAGTAACCATTGTGTCCTACCTCCAATACCACCATAACCTCTTTTTAATGCCCGAATGAAATTATTTTTTCATGAACCAACATTAATTCACAAACAAATCGAGCCCTTAACAGCTAAATTCTACCAATTCTAAAGTTTTGATAATGTTTAATTTACAACAGAAAAGATTTGTTGCTTAAAAGCGAGCACAGAAGTGTAAATGTATGATATACATGACGTTAACATGATAACAGCATTTTGTTTTGATAACCTACAAGCACAGTGGCGTAGCGAGGTCGGGTGTCACCCGGTGCGGCACTTAATGGTGTAACCCCCCCCAGAGGCGTTGCGACCCTTCCCGGGGACAAACTTTCAAGTTTTCGATTTGCACCCCCCCCCCCCCCAAACTTTCGATTTGCACCCCCACCCCCTTAACTTCTTTTTCTCTATATATTTTGCTATTTTTTGCCTTTGTATCACCCCCCTAAATGGTGTCACTCGATGCGGTCCGCACCCCCCCCCCCTCGCTACGCCCCTGTACAAGCATATTGCAGTTAGGAAAGTACAGCGTGGACCCTTCTCCCCACACACTGAGTTGGAACAGCCTACAACCGACTCAATTATGGATGTCATAGATAGATGACCCTTAAATTAAAACATACTATATTTTATAATAGATAAACTAATATAAAAATAAGGCCTGCCAACAAGAGATGCATACGTTGTATTACATAAGAGTGTTGGATAAGCTAACTCTAAAGAATATTGATGAAGGGGTCCCACTGGCAGATGTCATATTCAATGAGACCGCTTTGCCGGGAGACTTAGTCTCTACAGAAACGGTATTGTCAGTGCAGTGGCGTAGCTAGGATTTTTGGGCCCCTATGCAAAAATTAGGCCAGTGGCGTCGCTAGGTCGGGTCTCACCCGGTGCGGCACTTCGTATTGTCACCCCCTCCCAGGAAACAAAGCATATATATATATATACATATATATATATATATATATATATATATATATATATATATATATATATATATATATATATATATATATATATATATATATATATATATATATGTGTGTGTGTATGTGTGTGTGTGTGTCGGCCTACATAGGCCTAAAATTTATATATATGCCACATACTGGTACACGTACGTGTTTAAGCTTTAATCACTGCTGACTTAATAGTGACGATGTTTATCTACAGTCTGTTTATAATACAGTTGGATGTAGCATTGTTTTCTTTATAGTTTACGTTTACGTCGTGGTGTCACACCCCCCCCCCCCCCCCTTGATATAATTTTCGATTTGTACTTAGAAGACTATTTAACTTTAACTAATGGATCTGGAAAATGGCATTTCATTCTATAAATTTTACAATTTTTTGCCTTTGGTGTCACCCCCCCCCCCTAAATGGTGTCACCCGTTGCGGTCAGCACCCCCCGCCTCGCCTTCGCTACGCCTCTGCGTTAGGCTACAGAGGAGTTAAACGAAGAGATCAACTTCTACTTACGATGGATATTTTTTAATATATAAATATTCTGAAGGCAACATTTTGTATTTTATATGTCCTGATTTTGTATTTATACTATATTATTATGCTTGCCTACTACTGCTAAAAAGTTTATTTATAGGCTGATTCTCTCAATGTCTTGCACGACAAAGTGATATAGCCTGTAGTGTTATTATAACGATTGGGCTCTGTTTTCCCCCCCCCCCCACACACACTGAATCCCAAAGCCGAAACGGTGGGGGGGGGGGGTCTTTTTGGAACTTTTAACCTTTTTCTTTTTTAAAATTATTTATATGTAACAAATATTAAAATTCCATTGTAAAAGTTTTAATTTTTTATGAGGGAAAAGGGCCCATATGTGCCTTCGGCCCCCATGCCTTGCTTACGCTAGCTTTACGGTAGCTACGCCACTGTGTCAGTGGTCCTTTTGTCTGGAGCCAAATTGACAGGAGCCTTTTTGTCGGGAGCCAAAATGACGCTAGCCTATTTGTCGGTAGTCGTAATGACGGGGGCCGTTTTGTGGAAAAAACTAAATGACGGGAGACCATATGTCGGGAGCCAAAATGACGGGAGCCTATTTGTCAGGAGCCTTATTGACTGGAGCCCTTTTGTCGGGAGCCTATATAACGGGAGCCTATTTGTCGGTAGCCTAAATGACGGGAGCCTATTTATCGGGAGCCTATATGACGGGGTCCATATGTCGCTGGCCCTTTTGACGGGGCCGATTTGACGGGGTCGTTTTGACGGGGTCGTTTTGTCGGGGTCGTTTTGACGGGGCCGTTTCGTCATTGGCCGAATTGACGCCGCACGATATTAATGTTATATTAGTATATTGTGAGATAACCCCTCTTACATATTTTAGCGACAAACGCTTTTATGAATCAAAGCACATTAGATCTTGATCTAGAATCTAGATCTAGACGTATTTTCTTCACTTCAATTTCATTTAAATGCTTTTTGCTATTATAAAGGTGTAATATGTTTTATTTTCGTTTCGTTTTATAGAGAAACCTGATAGATCTAGAAAATCTAGATCTATTCAATACTAGAATCTAGACTAGAGTCTAGAGTAAACTTGAATTCGTTGTCAACAAATATTATATAATTATATAATCTAGCCTAGATCTAGATCTAGGCCTAAACTACTAAAGGCTAATGTCATTAGTAATGAATAGATATAATATTTAATATAGATCTAGTTTAGAAAAATCACTTGTGAATTATTTCTAGACTCTAGATATGGTAATCTATCGTTTTGGGTACGTAAAATCGCCCGCGACTTGTAATGTGAAAACCAGGTGACTCCTTAAATTTTAATTATTATTTCACATTTTGAGGAGGATTTATGTTTTTTAAAATACAAAAATGTTTCCTTGTTTCATTTATGTACCTGTTTTTAAAGAATTGAATTAAAACTTTTCAGTTATAAATGAAGACTAGAGATGTTTCCAACAGATGCAATCTTGCTCATTTACTATAGCAGCCATCTTGTTTAAGTTTTATTTTTATAAGCTTTTAGCGCGAGATCAGGGGGAAGCCACTCTATTTTACAAATGGCTGCTGTTTATATAGCAAATCTTGCTCTCAGACACTGCTGTTTAAAGTTAATTTCTGGCCTATATCGATATATGTAGCCATTGATTTAGGTTTATTATTCATTTATCTATAATATTTTACACAAACATATGACAATATACTCCTATTAAAGCCTTGACAATGAGGTAACGTTTTCGTACATTAATAGCCGCGGGCGATTTTACGTACCCAAAACGATAGATTACCCTAGATATCTATTATAGTATTATCTAGATCTAGTTTAAGTTAGGTAATCTATTGTCTTAGGACCTTAGGTGCGTAAAATCTGCTGAGGCTAGTAGTAATGTGTAAAAAAAGTTGTCTCCTCATTTTTAAGGCTTTAATAGATTCTATTAAAATCTTCTATTAAATGCTAGGCGCGCTTACAGCTTGGTGTTTTCTAGGGTATCCAAGAAGATAATTTATACATACGTGCCGACCCGCGGCGTATCATACGCCGCTATTTAGTTGTTTTTTCAACTTTTCAGTAATTCAGAATTTGTGAATTCGACAGTACCAATGCTGCCACTGAAAATATTTGCTTTAAAACACTAAAACCCTCCTTTCCCCCAACCCCTGCCCCACCCCCTCGTGAAAGCAGCCTCCTCTTAGTTACCTCCCCTAAGTTTAAAATCGTTTTGAATTAAATTATCTGCCCCTAATAGCTGTCACTAAACCCCGTCCCTACGGTTTGTAAACATTTAGTGTGAACCACAGCTCACCAGACCATGTGAGAGGGGGGGGGGATGGTAGCGATAGAGAGGAAGAGAGGGGATTGCAAGGCGCGCTTGCAGCTTGTTTTCTAGCGTCTCCCAGAAGAGAATTATAGATTCTATAATATATAGATAATTCTCTTCTTGGAGACGATAGAAAACACCAAGCTGTAAGTGTGCCTCCTAGCAGCCCCCTCTCTTCCTCTCTAGGCATATTGCTAACACACCCACCCCCACATGGTCTGGCTCGTTATATATATAGATGTTTAGGAGGATTTATATTTTGAAAGTTACAAAATTGTTTCAAAGTTCCATTAATGTACCTGTTTTTAAACAATCGTATTAAAACTTTTCAGTGAAAAATATAGACTAGCGATGTTTTCATTCATCAGATGCAACCAAGCTCATTTACTTTAGCAGCTATCTTTATTTTTTTATGTGTAAAATTATAGTTAGAGATTCAGTGGAAACCATTAAAACTTACAGATGAATGTTGTTTATATAGCAAATCTTGCTAGCAAACACTGCTTAATTTGTGGCCTATATTGATTACTAGTCGCTGCCGATTTTATGTACCTAAAATGATAGATTACAGACTTTTAATTTAAACTTTAAATATAAACTATTAGCCTATTTATTAAGCCTATATATTATAATATAATATATATTTATAATCTTTTCAGTCTAGGCATAGATCTAGAATAATAAATAGATAAAATGGATAATAAAAAATTAGTTGAGAGAAAAAGTCGAGGATTATCTAGGTCTAGGAGTAAAGACAAAAAGTCACGAAAACGACACTCTAATTCTTCAAGTACAGAATCTTCTCCCACCTCCAACAGTAGTGGGTCTAGTAGCAGTAGCGAAAATGAAAGTAGCAGCCCACATTCTAGATCTACATCATCTTCTAGTTCATCTCTTTCAGTACTGCAACTTTCCAAAAAGCGGAAAAGATCATTGTCTAAAAAAAGTAATAAATCGTCAAAATCTAAGAAAAAATCTAAAAAGAGGTAAACACAACGTATAATGAATAATGTGTTATTAATGTGAATAGCCGCTATTTTATTTCAAGTTTTTAAAAAATCTGATTTAATCTAGATCTAGGCTGGGGTAAAACTCTTTTTTTTTGTAGATCTACTTAGATCTTTATCTTCATTTTTAATTAAAACAATGTAGGCCACAAAGAATATACAAACTGAACTATTTAGAATTTCATATTTTACCTATACCCATGAAAATCTTTACATGAACATTATTTTCAGTAACAGAATTTTAGTATCCTAATCTAGTGCAAATTTATTAAATCTAGATTCTAGATGTATTTGATTTTTTTTTGCAAGTTTTTAGAAAATTATCAAAAACTAAAATAATAGGCCTACATCTCTAATTCATAAAAAATAAACTATCTAGATCTAGAGGTAATAAAATACACTTAAATGGAGGTGGATGTAAAAGCGACAAAAACTTTTGCTAAAATGGAGTTTTATCCTAGAAGGGATCATTGCGATCTGTCTTATTAGATAAGATTTAAGATACATCAATTTGTCCAAGGTGATTAACACTAGATGGCTGCCTGAATAATAAATGGAATAATATTCTGAAAAGTTTTTCTGTCCTAAGATTATTAAGAAACTGTGACCTGCGGTTGGGCATTTGCACTTTTGGTAGTTTGTTAAGAGGTGGAAATTAAGTGCCAATAAGGAATGAGTTCTCTTTTCTCATTTATAAAATTAGTTTCTGTAGGTTTATTATTTAATTTTTTTTTGCAGTCATGCATATGCTCATACTCATAAATAATTATGAGGTTTTTCATTATATTATTAAATAAATGTTAGCCTAATAATTTAAAAAAATGAGGCTAAATAGTTTTGCTCTTAAACAGCTAGGCCTAAATGAATCATTTATAAATTAAAATGGCCTCATGCAGTGGTTTCTACATCCACCCTCTATTGTCACAAAATTCTAGACACCTGCCTAACACAAGACTGTAGACATGCCAATAGACAATTCCAAGGGAAACTAAAGATGGCTGCTGTTAGTCTACTATCATAAGCGGTTTATTTGCTGCTTTCATTTTACATTTTTTTTATGATTTAAAATTTTTAATTCTGTTGTTCTCAAATGAAAATCTTATTTTAGGAGCCCCCCCCCCCCCCCCCTCCTTCCAAGATCTTCAGAAGAATCCAAGGGGTCGGCGTGGTCGAGTCGGTAAAGCTCATGGTTGCTAAACTAAAAAGTCTCGATTTCGAACCCTCGGGCAGATGGGGCTCGTTAGCTGGGGACAGCCACTCTTCTAGGAGAGATAACTCCAAAATTAAACAACTGCTGCCTTGTAGTTTGTTCTTGGTTGGACAAAGGCTATGGAAGCAAATCCAATAAGAAAAGCATGCTGAAATCGGAGTCAATGGCCTCAATGGCGCATAACCAGTTGACACGTAACGCTTAATTGTGTTGGAGGCGTGGTCGAGTCGGCAATAAGCTCATGGTTGATAAATTCGAACAAAGTCTCGAGTTCAAACCCACTGGCAGATAAATCTCGATCCCCTTCAACACTAATAATTAAGAACGAAGAAGAAGAAGAATCCAGATCCCTGAAAAAGTTTACCCTAGCTAAGGGGTCATCCATAAATGACGTCACGCTTTTTTTGACGATTTTTACCTCCCCCCCATTATAGTTTATTAACACCGTTTTCTTAAATGCCAAATAACGGCTAAAATTCGTTTTCTAACATTGCTTTTTTATAATGCAAAAGTGTGACGTCACACCATCTGAACCCCCCCCCCCCCCCCTCATCACACACCGTCATAAAATTACGGACCCCTCCCACCTACGAGTGTGACATCATTTATGGACGACCACTAATGTCACCATGAGGACAATAAACATCAGCGAGTTGACAAGAATCCTTCCGTAGTGTTGTTGACATGGAATTATGACTGTGCTTTTTTTAGATTTAGGACCGTAAAAATAATAAAAAATAAAAACTTAAACCTAAAATTAATTCAGAAATTTAATATTTTTAGAATCAATGCTATAAAAGTTGCAGATCCAGAGAACTTGAAAATAATTTGTTGAGTTTAAGGCTACATTTCTATTTATTTTCATCAAGCCTAAGTTATAACCCGATGTTTCACTTTTGTAAGACAAACATTGATTGGCTGTACAGGAACTCCGTGATCGATTTCTGACAGCCCCCACTTTATATTTTTTTTGTTCACCAAACTTTGCAGATCAAGTTTTTAAATAACAATGCAAATTTAAACCCCATGACCTAGTTTTTCTCTTTTTAGCTTACAATGTGTACAATACAATTTATGGCGGCCTATCAAACAACAGGATGCCATTGTTTATGTCGCCATTACACGTGAAAACCAAATTGTTTTTGCTTTTTTTAAATTTTTATTTAGTTACCAAAAATATTACAAACATCAAATACGTCCAATCTTTAGTAAAGTCCGAAAAAAACCAGACAGACAGGACTTTATAAACATTAATTGTATCTACGCTGTGCATGATTTTTAAATTAATTTATGGGCCTCTCAAATACCTTTGAAACTTTTCTCGCTGGCGTCCATTGACACCTGGTGTGGTAATCTGGGGTGTCATCACCCCACTGCAAATATTTGACTAAAAACCTTGGGTAATTTGGTGTCATTCCTCCTCCCTGATGGTGTCACCCTATGTCTAATGATGTATAACTTTAATAAGTTATTCAACTAACTGGGTAAAGCAAACTTTCTCATTCAAATTTGCTCTTTTGTTTTGGTGTCACACCCTTGGGTAGTAGCGGCTGTTGTCCTTGCCTCTGTCTTGTGACACTACTGGTTGAGCTGTTTTTCATGAATCATCAAAAAAGAAAATGAAAGCATTTCCATTTATTCCAGACATTTTGTTGGTCTGGGAAGCTTGTTTAGATATTTAATGCACCTGTTGAAGATGCAGGTGCTTGAAAATTGGTGTTGATAAATAGAATACTGAGAAAAAACGTTGCTTATCCTCTACCTCCTCGAACAAGGGGGCGAAAACTGCATGTCCATCTGGACATTTTTTTTAAAAGTCATAGATAACACCCCAAATACATTTCCCTTGATCTTCTTATCTCTTTTGCAAGATCAAGGTCATCTTCAGCTCCTGCCTCAGCATCCCCAGAGAAGAAAAAAAAAGTTAAAAAGAAGAAAAAAAAGAAAACCAAAAATAAACAAAAGAGAAGAAAAAGCTTGACTCCTGTTGACAATTTAAAGTTAAAAGATGTGAAGATTTTGCCCATTGCTCCAACAGAAGACGGTAAATTGATTAAGATTATTTTTATCTGTGTTCTTTTTTTATTGACAGTGAAGTCATTTTTATTTTTCTGTGCAAGGTATTATTGGTGTTATTTTGTTGTTGGTTCTGATTGCAATGTCTTGCCACAGGTCCTCCATTATATTTAGTCCTCTCTCCATTCTGTTTTCTGCTATTTGTTATGCAGCCCTTTGTCATTATGCGATGATCAAACATCACACTTATCAAAACATGCCGAATCTTTATTATGATTTTAAAAAATAGAATGTTCGAAGAAGAATTTACTGCATCACTTAGGGAAGATGTCAATAAGGCGAAAGCTAGACCTTAGTGTACGGCATGTAATATCCCTGTTACTGTGTGAATATGCAAAGGTTAGGTTTGCCTGTCGTCCCTACTGGGACATAGGCCGCTGACAAGAGCTTTCCAGGCGTCTCTGTCCAGAGCTAGTCTCTCCATCTGTCCCCAGGTGTATCCAATCTTCTTGGTGTCTTCTTCCAGGTCACGTCTCCAGGTCTTTCTTGGTCTGCCTCTCCTCCTCCTGCCTTGTGGATTCCAGGTGAGGGCCTGTCTTGTTATGCTGGATACAGGCTTCCTGAGTGTGTGGCCAATCCATTTCCATTTTCTCTGGAGGGTCTCTACTTCAACAGGCAGTTGATTTGTCCGTTGCCACAGAACAACATTTCTGATGGTTTTAGGCCAGCGAATTTGCAGGATCTTTCTGAGGCATGCGTTTATAAATGATTGTATTTTCTTTTTATTTATAGCAGTTATTCTCCATGTCTCAGCTCCATAGAGTAAAACAGGTTTTACTAGTGTGTTGAAGATCCGGATTTTTATTCTAAGGGTTAAATCTCCAGAACCCCAAACATTTTTTAGTTGATTGAAGACTGCTCTTGCCTTGCCCGTCCTTATTTTTATGTCTGCTTCTGTCCCACACAATACTTCCAAGCTAGGTGAATCTATCCACTTCTTCTAGGGCTTCTTCTGCCAATGTTATAGGGTTGTTGTTTGATGCATTGACTTTGAGAACTTTAGGTTTCCCTCTGTGGATGTTCTGGCCAAGGGATGTAGAAAAATTAGCAACCCTGTTGGTTTTATCCTGCATTTGCTGTTGTGTGTGAGAAAGAAGGGCCAGGTCGTCAGCAAAGTCCAGGTCATCCAGCTGGCTCCAGTGTCCACTGTATACCGTTTCGCGTTTTCTCTGTTGACATCTTCATAATCCAGTCTATGGCTAGCAGGAACAGGAATGGTGAAAGTAGGCAACCCTGCCTTACTCCAGTCCATGCACTACTTTACATTTCAGACCTTCATATGAAGACATAATAATGTTGACTATTTTCTGTGGCAACCTGTAGTGTCTCAACAATTTCCACATTGACTGTCTATCCAGGTTATCAAAGGACTTCTCATAATCTATGAAATTAATATAGAGAGAGGAGTTCCACTCTTGGGTCTGTTCAATGATGATGCGCAGGGTAGCAATTTGGTCTACGCAGGACCTTTCCTTCCTAAAGCCCGCCTGTTTATCTCGAAGCTGGGGATCTATCACTTCCTTTATTCTGTTTAATAATATTCTGATGAAGACTTTGCCTGGGATGGACAAAAGTGTTATCCCTCTATAGTTAGAGCATGCACTAAGATCGCCTGTCTTTGGAAGTTTTATGAGTATTCCCTTCTTCCACTTCTCTGGTATTTTTTCATCTTCCCAAATTTTCTTGAAGAGTGTGGTATAGTAGTGTGGTGCTAGTTTCTATATCTGCTGTCAGTGCTTCTGCCGGTATACCATCTATTCCTGGAGCCTTCCAATTTTTCAGCTGCTTTATAGCTTTATGTATCTCTTCTTTTGAAGGTGGGTTGCAGTCTATAGGGAGGTCACTTTCAGGTGAATATGCAGTTGAATTTTGTTTGTCATGTGTGGTTTGGCTAATTTCTTGGTGTGTTTTTTATGGAACACCACCTTTTCCAGACAGGAAAATTGTCTGCCAAAAAAGTATATTTTTCCGAAGTTCCTCTGTATCAAACACAAATTTTGCACAGCTCCATTTCTCTTTCTATTTTGTATTGCCTGAAAAAAGGGCAAATTTATTTGAAGAACATTTATAATATAAGCCCAGAAATATGCAGAGACATGCACTGATCTCATCATACTACATTTTTGTTTGATTGAACTTTGACACTGTTTCCATCACGTCTCCATCACAAAAAAAAACCTCACTTGTTTCTCATGGTCGCAATGACTGTGATGTCTTATTTGTCAGCCTTTAGTCCTAGACCCCTCCAGATGTATGCATAGGATTGAACAGCGGATCCCTGCCCTTGTTGCAAAAAAAAAAAAAAAACTAAAAAAAAAAGCCCAACTCAGAAGTAAGCAAGCGATGTAAACAAATGGAGGAGAATTTATGGAAAAAAAATCCCATTCATTTAAGCTGGTTGGGTGTTCATCTTTTTTTTGTGAATGTCAAAAATAGATTCTCTTTTGTTTTGATCTACATAAAAAAATACTTGTTTTGGCGTATAACAGTTTCTGTGACTGTTTCACTTGATGTACTTTTGTTAAGGCCCTTGTTCTGTAAGAATTTCTTACTTCCATTAAAATAAATATTAATTAATATAAATGACTAATGGTGAAGACATGGATCAAATTGTTTTACATTGATTCTGTTGATCTAATATTAGTGTCCATCCTTTGTTTTGCCAAGTTCCAACTGGAAAAAGATCAGGTCCAAAGCCACGTGTTATGAAACCTATGACCAAAGAGGAATGGGAAAAACAACAGAGTGTTGTTAGGCGGGTTTATGATGAGGAAACAGGCAGAGAGAGGTAACTCAGTGTTCCTTGGTCTATGTTTGGTATATCCTTGGTTACTCCCCTTAGTGATAGACCAGTATTGTTTATTAATATTACTCCCCTCCCTGCCAATGTTAACTGCCTGTGCTTTTTTTTATGGGAGAACTGCATTTAACTCACGGCAAACTTTTGCAGGCTGATCAAAGGAGATGGAGAAATTTTGGAAGAAATTGTCAGCAAAAACCGCCACTTGGAAATAAACAAGGTGCATTATTTAAATAAAATATTTTACTTTAAAACGATACAAATAAAGCATTTTCTCTATAATAGTGGTCAAAAAAAAAATTGGAGAGCCTAGCTATATAGTAACTAGTTGCAGCAAATAAGGAATATATGACGACATAAACCTTTACATTATTCAACTTTAGTTTTTTGCATAGATATGATAACCATTTAAATATAGTTGTGTTCTAAGTGCCCTCTTTAGTAAGAGTGGTTATTGCCGTATAATTTTCATTTCAACTTTTTGCCATTTTTGTAAAACTGAAAGCACCATTTAAAATGTGAGTTTTCAAAAAATTATTTAAAATGGCCAACACTTGGTCAACATATATACAAGTAATTGTCTAGTGCAGTGGTTCCCAAATTTGGCGCCCCCTTTTATAAAATGTAAGTGACCAGTGACCCCCCTGGAATTTAAGTCAAAATTAGTATGGAAATTAATAATAATTAAAATAAGATTTTCGAGTAGACTGTCAATATGAATTATTCTTGATAACTATTTTAATACGTTGAGTCAAATTTGATGCTATTAACTAGCCTCAACATTCATTTTTAACGCCAACCTCATGTCAATCTCAACATTTATGTATTTTTTTTTTTGTTTTTAATTGAAAATTAAAATCCACTCTCCTACTAACGATATGTAGACACAAAAGGAACTAAAACTCTAAAGGCAAAAGTTTGGGTATGAATGGTGCATACTACACCAAAAATGTGTGAGCAGTTTTTCATCTGACGTCGAATCATTCTGCAAATTTAAGAATTCATCGGGAATGCTGGCAACCTCGAGGGAAGCAGAGAATGGGTTACGTGTCAATGCACATTCTTCTTCTTTCAGCTCAGGGAAATTAGGCAGCACTTAGATTTCAAGATGCCCAGAAATCTCCTTTTCATATTCATCTCACACTCACAAGCAGATTCATCTACTACCCTAGCGACTCCTCCTTTGCAATTAGCTTCATTACGACAAAAGAACTCCATATCATTTTTGGTGTGTTCCGAATGACTTGTCTCAAAATAACGTTTTAGTTTTGAAGGTTTCATAGACTCATGACTAAGAACCACTTTGTACAGTATAGATTGTTTCTTCTCTATTCTATTTCTAGTGATCTAAGTAAAACCGAATTTCAGATATCTTTTCTAAATACTTAAGGTTTTTTTTTTCATTGCTAGGGTTTAGTCTACCATTTGGCAACCCCCCTCCCCCACAAAGCCCTTCGAGACCCCCAGGTTGGGGAACCCATTGTCTAGTGGATAACTCCTGGGTAAAAACTCATTAAGCTTTGAACTTCACGCATCTCAAAGCCAATGTTAATGGAGCTACAGACACTACTAGTCAAAACAGCCACCAGTTAAATGATTGGATTCAAAATGTTTGCAACCTGTTTTAGCTATCTTTGCATTTTTTTTTTCAGACTGCAACAAGAGGCGATGGCCAGCACTATGCAAAACAAATGGGTTTATATTAGGCTGTTCCATCAATTCTAAATGATGGATTATTATTTTTTTGTGTCTGCTTACTAGACTGTTGTTTTAGCATCCAAGCTGTTTTAAGCAAATGTAAAAATATTTGACCCAATAAACCAATGGAGTTACTGATTTTTTTTTGTCTTTAAAGTTTGACATCCTAGACCTAACATTGTAGTCTACACAAGACTTGTACTAGACCTAACATTGTCGTGAACATAAGACTGTAGTAGACATTGTACTTGTAAAAGTAATAGTGCAATTGATATAGTTGGCACTATGGTTAGATGTCGATGACTGCGGTGAGAGGTTATACAGGTTGATACTAAAGAATCCATGATAGTTTTGTTTAGTCTTGTCTAAAGCTGAAGAGAAACTTGTGGTCATCAATAGTGGCCAGCCTGAGAGCTAGCCAGCCCTACCACACCTTACAACACAAAACACATCTACATCCTCACAATTCTCCCAGCCTCACCCTAAGGTAACCTAACCCTGCCAGACCACAGCATTCCGCGAGGGCGCCTATCCTGTGCATACTTTAAAAAACTGGAACACTAATTCTTAACTATTCAAACTTATATTAAGTTATAGTAATTATAATCAAACACCTTAGTGCCATTTCTATTAAATTACAGCTACTAGTACTATTACCTATCTAATCTATACACAAGATAACAGTATGACCTACCTAGAATTAAAATAAATATTTTACCCCAGTTCCGCACCCTATGTTGATTCCAGTTATAACACCCTCCAGTTTTGCCTAATGGCGTTAATTTGCACACACATATTAATTTTATTAATCCACCTATATATACCAGCGGAAGCAAAAACTGTTTTCATAGTAAATTATTAAACGTCACCCCCACCCCAGTCATTATATCAAAATAAGTATATCATTTATATTTACTACAATGAAATTGGCTTTTCTCACTTTTTGATCAAATCAAAAATGGAAGTAAAAAAAAAACACAAATTTTGGTGGTTTCTTATGGAAACACGAGTAGTAGCGTAAAGTTGAGTAAGTGTGATATAATAACGTCACGAATTTACCCTAACCCATCTAATCGTTAATAGCTAAACAAATGACATTAAAATGGTCCACTGCATCTTCAGTTTAAAAAATATTTTGAATATTTAACTTAAGGCAGAAAAATACTAATCAATACAAAATCAAATATTTAATATTTTGTAGCTATTTAGATGGGGTGTGTCTAAAATTCAAAATTTTTGTGGACGTCATAAATGGATGACCCCTAACAAGAATTGGTAAGGTGTGGTTATAGTCTGGTAATTGGAACAATGGAATAGTAGTATGTACATATTTTATTTTATTTACAACACTAATAGTAGGATGAAATGAGTATCACAGGAATTTTAAATAAACATCATTTAACATTGACACGATTATTATAGGTAACTTGATGAATAATACAAATAAATGTAATAAATCAAGTGAAAGCACTTCTATGCAATACTACTTAAAATGAAATACATAGATAGGATCTAAAAGTGGACAGGGAATGGTGTAAGTGTAAGCTAGACATACAAAACATCTAAGAGTACTGACTGGTCTTCAGATAACCAGCCAGTACTGCAGTTACTTTTTTCTTTCTTTTTTAACCAAAATTAAGTCCAAAAAATATATAAAGAACTTGTGGAACATGAAAACTTGTTGAGAAAACAGGGGCATCTGATTGGAACAGAATATTACAAATTTAAAGAAACCTTCAAGGTTAGCTGTATCAGATAGTTCTGTAGATATGTTGACAGAAAAACAGATTTAGATCTAAAAGCTTGTTTATGTGAATGAGATCAGAGTGAAACACAACATATAATAAATAGATGGTCAATGTACAATGAAGAAATCAACTCTTAGCCATGTAACTTGTACTAGTACTATGGATAAATATCCAAGGCACGTACCAACTTGTGTTACTACCTGGTCTGAATCTGTAGGATAGTTATGGCACCATAGAAATCACAGTTTAAGCCAACTGGCTAGTATGTTGTGTGGCTCTGAGATTATCAATACTTGTGTAGTCAGCTAGTTGTGCTGCAGCAGACCACCATCATCAATTTGTGCTGCTATTAGCCCCCCCCCCCCCCCCCAAATCATCAATTCATGCTGCTAGCAACCTTTGGATTGGAAAGTTTAGTTCTATGTAGATCAGTGCCCATCTCTAGGGAAGCTATAAGAGTGAAGAAGTTCTATGTAGATCAGTGCCCATCTCTAGGGAAGCTATAAGAGTGAAGAAGTTCTATGTAGATCAGTGCCCATCTCTAGGGAAGCTATAAGAGTGAAGAAGTTCTATGTAGATCAGTGCCCATCTCTAGGGAAGCTATAAGAGTGAAGAAGTTCTATGTAGATCAGTGCCCATCTCTAGGGAAGCTATAAGAGTGAAGAAGTTCTATGTAGATCAGTGCCCATCTCTAGGGAAGCTATAAGAGTGAAGAAGTTCTATGTAGATCAGTGCCCATCTCTAGGGAAGCTATAAGAGTGAAGAAGTTCTATGTAGATCAGTGCCCATCTCTAGGGAAGCTATAAGAGTGAAGAAGTTCTATGTAGATCAGTGCCCATCTCTAGGGAAGCTATAAGAGTGAAGAAGTTCTATGTAGATCAGTGCCCATCTCTAGGGAAGCTATAAGAGTGAAGAAGTTCTATGTAGATCAGTGCCCATCTCTAGGGAAGCTATAAGAGTGAAGAAGCATTAGACAAATCGGAACTGGAGCCACCAGCAGCAGAAACATTAAAACTTGCACCCTGTGTTGCCATGACTACGATGGGCTGACCTATAAGATGATGAGAGGCTTGCATGTGCTGTGCAGGAATCAGGTTCTGTAGAAGTGCCACCTGGCCAGATGTTCCAAGCTGTACCACAGTAGGCATCATTGTAGCCTGAGCGTTGGCCAGGGAGGTTGGCATTATTGTATTGTGAGGGAATGGTGTGAAGAATCTCAGGGGAGCCCCTGGTGCTAGAGAGCTGTTTGAGGCCAAGTGGCCACAGGTCAGTAATGTGGGGGTCAAGGTCACTCTGGTCTCATGTAAGGATGGTGGTGCTGTGGGCTTCACTGGAGAGCCCCCTTTCATTACACTTTTATTCACAGAGGGCGCTGCTAGTAACGTAGCTATCCGCGCATTGCTGGCCAATGGGACGGCAGCCAGCTGGTCACTTGTGTCTGTACTTGTAAACACTAGGTTAGCTGTCAGAGTTGGGGGAGTCTTGTTGCTCAGGTTGCTGGATGAGGATGGTCTGGAGGCAGAGTGGGTGGGTGTTGAGTGTGTGCTGGCTGTCATCTGTGTATTGTTCAGTGAGATGTTTCGCATGAACGAAGTCAGGGAAACTGGGATCATGGTGGGGAGCAGCTTGGAGAATGTGCCGTCCAGTGGCTGGGCCAGTGCAGCTAGAGACTGCATGTTTAATGGGCCGGTGTTAGCCAGGAAGTTTGCTGAACTGACAGGGTCTATTTGCAGAGTTTCTCCAGCTTTTACTTCTTTGTTTGAGTGCCCAACTGGGGAACAAGTTTTTTGAGAGCTGGATGCTGCACCAGCTGCCATGTTAGCTGATGAAAGCACCAGAGCAGAGGACTGACTAGAGTTCCTGCGTTTGCCAGCAGACGAGACTTGAAGAGTTTTGGCATAGCCATGAAGATTAGCTGAGGTCCCCACCTGAGGCAGCCCAATTGTGGAAGACACTGGCTTGAGCACTGATGAGAGGTGAGTACTTATCATGGGATAACTTGACTTTAACGAGCTGCTACATTTGCTTGACACAGGCTCATACATTGCTCTGGCTTTAGCTGAAAGAAATAAAATAGTTCAGGCTTTTAGTGTTTTGGTTAGTCTAGCACTGCTTTTAGTTTTCTCATGTTTTGGCAAGATTTTTATTTTTTCTCATGAAAATTCTCATGAAATAAATTAAAATAACTCAGGTAGCTTCAATTTTTATGCTGAATTATTTGTATTGTGATTGTAATATTGGATGGCAACCAAATTCAGGAAACTTAGATGTATTGTTCAGCTGGGCTACTTCAAATATTTCTTTGGAATTAAAGAAAATCATCTATAAATATAAACACTAAAGTATTAAAAAAAACCAAGCGTATTTTGGTTCCCATATACCATACTTGATACACTTAAGTATTGCATAGGCAACTTCTGAAAAAAATGCGTACCAACCTCTCCCCACAGTGAACAATTTCTAGATACTTGTAATACATACAAATATAACTTGTGGTACATAAAAGTACAACTTGTGGTATGTACAGGCATAACTTGTATGTACAGGTATAACTTAAGATGTTCCAAATTATTTGTTTCATTTATTTGCTGGAACCAATCATGTCATCTAATTTACAAAGAATGTTCAGTTATAAAATTACAAGTTGTACACCTTGTTCATTGTGATCTAATCCTACACAGAGTGATAAAACATTGTATTCAGAGTTTCATCAACACGTTAACAATCATGTACTATAGACATGTGATCGTTTTCTAAATTTAAGTCATTTTAATTTAAACATAGCTGGCGCTATATTCCTTGGGTTGTTGGGGTGAGGCTATGGTATGTTAATCACCCTCTGTGAGATGGAGCTCTCCCTTTTGATCGCCCTGGTGTTAGGGGTGCTTGAGAGCCACTGGTTACACCAGCGCAGGGGCGCTATGTTCAGGTTAGTCCAGTCCTCAGTCACCTTTTGCAAGGATTTCAAAATAAAATGGAAGAGAGAAAAGGTAGATGGGGTAGCTTTAAAATAAAAGTAGATCAATTATACTATAGCTAGACTAACAGGCATGTGAAATAAACTAGAGATTTTGTAGTTTATATTAAGAGGAGTGCATTTTGTAGTGTACCCAGTGGCTCCAGCCCCACATGGTGGATGATTAACATACACTAAAGGCTTTCATACAGTAGGGTAGACAAACATGTCCCCAACAACTAGAATCCAAGAAACATGGTGGGCGCATGCACATTTAACCCTATTTCTACTGACGGTATAGATAAGTACCACTTTCATTAAGCGCCTTTTAATTTAAGACGAATTTTAAAAATTATTGATGTAATTAATAGTATCATCTCCCCTGAGTCACCGGTAGGTGGAAGGATCAATGTTTTTTTAAAAATGTCTGGTCTGCGCCATTTTCAATCTTTTGCTGTATCGGTAGTTCACAATCATTCTGTACAGATCTTACATGTGTTCCTGATTTCCCTTATTCTTCAAGTTTTCAAGCCCAAATATTTTGTATTGGCATCTTCAATAGCCAGGCAAATGTATTTAACTTCTAGTTATACAATTTTAATCGAATTGCCTTTGTATAAGATCGATGTTTACACTGGGACTTATAAGTACCGTCAGGGCACACTGTCATTTTTTTAAGGATTTTTTGGAAATGGCAGATTTTCGATGTGGAGTGGCATACATATTATTTTGATAATTAATTATCGAAATGTACTCAAAAGTAATATTTATACATTTATAAGAAGGTTAGCATATGGTTTACCTAAGAAATATTGTAATTAAATGCTGATTTCTAGTAGTAAAAGAATAACAAGAATAAAGGTAGAAGTTGCAGACTAGTTTACTAGGTTTAGTATACTTTTTTGTATACCAAAGTCTAGTTCTAGTAGTAATATTTATTGCAAAAAACTGTCTTACCTACAATAACTAGCATATACATAATGCATACCTGTAGACTAGTAATAGTCCATACATCTGCATGTAATATAGATAGTTTTGTAAATTTTAATCAGTAAACATAAAACAATAGGCCACTATGGCTATTCTAAACACATTGAGCTCACTTTTATTTATAACCTTTACACTGTAGTGTAGACTCATCATAACATTTTAGTAGGCTACAATTTTACTAGTAGTAGTAAAGTGAATGACTAGGCTTTCGTTTTCAAAATACTTGTTTATGCGGCTCATTGTAATAGCTATTGGAAGCTTCCAGCAAAAGCAGGTTCAGTCCTACAACTGTTGCCAAGCCAGAAAGACGACAGACATGAATGTGTCAATGAGGCATGAGGGAGCATAACATGACGGCACCTTTTGCTGTGTTTGAGGTCTAAGATGTGTTCCGATAGAAAATCCAGTAAAAATCGTACTCAAAATATACTTGTGTTGTGTTTATGTGTGAAAATTACAAAAAATTATTGTTGCGATGATTGCCATGTTATTAGTTAATAAGTTGTATCGTTTGCTCCTGTTTTGTTAATTTTTTTATTTTTTGGTACTTATAAGTACCAATATATGTTTGGGCCCTTAAAAATTTATGAAACAAAATTTCATTCCACAAATGCTTTAAGTGTGTCAAAAGCAACATGATAACACATTGTTTAAAAAAAAAAATTCATTCAGAACCTAATTTCGTAAATAAAGGGTTAAATAAGTCTGTAATAGAAAACAAGGTTATTTGTGTTAAAATACACGCTAAGTAAAGCATTGATGGAATCCTCTTCAAAATAAATGTTGTGTCAACATTGCATCTGAGATTCCAGTGACATGTACACTAGTTATATAAATGGATAGTTGTACAGAGTAGCCCTCCCCCTTCCAAAGTCTTGACTGAGAGAGAGCAATAGACAAACCTTGAGCTGCACTTGTTATCTGATTCTTTTTCCTTTGCTCCAACATATGCTTCAATGCTAGGGATGATGAGGATACAGTTGATATCTTGCCACTTGACAGGCTCACACTAGGCACTATTGAATTGGACACTGAGAATAGAAATGTTCCTTCTGTGACACATCAGCAGGCTAAATAATATTTCATTCTGTCTAAAGCGGTCTGGCTCTCTACTGCTAGGCAACACCATCCCAAAAAACTTATTTATAGTGAGGATAAATCCAATAATTAAACAAACTAAATAGTACCTAATGTTAGTTAGTGGGGATAATCCGTTAATTAGACAAACTATATAGTACCTAATGTTAGTGGGGATAATCCGTTAATTAGACAAACCTAATGCAGCTCTTGGTCCAAGCTTTCTCTTTCTTGATCCTTCCACTTTTGTGTTGGTCGGGCATGTTGCTTCAACAACTTTCCTTTCGTCATCACTGTAATCTGGGCCTTCTGTTCATTCACCAACATAAATTTACACTCCATAGTGACTAGATTTGGCTTTATCAAGTATACATTTATTCCATAGAGATTAGATGTGGCTTTATCAAGCTAAATTAATTTTTTTTTAATTTAGCAAAAGCTAAAATTACTTTATGAATAAAAAAAGCAGACTTTGATACCTGAGGCCGTTGTGGTTGAGTCAGATGTGTGACCATCTTCTGCTCTCAAGACATTAAGGTAAGATGCTGACTCTTCTGAGCTGTTCTTCACCTCGATGTCATATAGTTTTTTTAGCTCACTTTTTCTGTTTGCCAGCATCTGAATTTCTCTTTCTTGTTCAACATCCTTCTTTTTCAGATTCTAAATAATTAATAGTTGACCTAAGTCATTAAAAAAAATATCTAGTGTTTAGCTTAAATAACCGGGGAAAAAAGATAAATAACAGTTGATGAGAGGTAGTCAACTGGTAAGAGGTGGTTTGTGTTGAGACGTGTAGCAAATCGAAAAAGCCAGTCAAGTTAAGTAACAGGAATATAATAAGCCTTTTGGTAAGAAGGGCCAAGTTAAATCTTTGCTAGAGTCACACTGGTATAGTACCTTAATATGTTGGCTGTATGACTTTGTACCTTTATGTTGGCTGTATGACTTTGTACCTTAATATGTTGGCTGTATGACTGTACCAAAATATGTTGGCTGTATGACTTTGTACCTTAATATGTTGGCTGTATGACTGTACCTTAATATGTTGGCTGTATGACTTTGTACCTTAATATGTTGGCTGTATGACTGTACCTTAATATGTTGGCTGTATGACTTTGTACCTTAATATGTTGGCTGTATGACTTTGTACCTTAATATGTTGGCTGTATGACTTTGTACCTTAATATGTTGGCTGTATGACTGTACCTTAATATGTTGGCTGTATGACTTTGTACCTTAATATGTTGGCTGTATGACTTTGTACCTTAATATGTTGGCTGTATGACTTTGTACCTTAATATGTTGGCTGTATGACTTTGTACCTTAATATGTTGGCTGTATGACTTTGTACCTTAATATGTTGGCTGTATGACTGTACCTTAATATGTTGGCTGTATGACTTTGTACCTTAATATGTTGGCTGTATGACTGTACCTTAATATGTTGGCTGTATGACTTTGTACCTTAATATGTTGGCTGTATGACTGTACCTTAATATGTTGGCTGTATGACTTTGTACCTTAATATGTTGGCTGTATGACTGTACCTTAATATGTTGGCTGTATGACTTTGTACCTTAATATGTTGGCTGTATGACTGTACCTTAATATGTTGGCTGTATGACTGTACCTTAATATGTTGGCTGTATGACTTTGTACCTTAATATGTTGGCTGTATGACTTTGTACCTTAATATGTTGGCTGTATGACTTTGTACCTTAATATGTTGGCTGTATGACTGTACCTTAATATGTTGGCTGTATGACTTTGTACCTTAATATGTTGGCTGTATGACTTTGTACCTTAATATGTTGGCTGTATGACTTTGTACCTTAATATGTTGGCTGTATGACTTTGTACCTTAATATGTTGGCTGTATGACTTTGTACCTTAATATGTTGGCTGTATGACTGTACCTTAATATGTTGGCTGTATGACTTTGTACCTTAATATGTTGGCTGTATGACTGTACCTTAATATGTTGGCTGTATGACTTTGTACCTTAATATGTTGGCTGTATGACTGTACCTTAATATGTTGGCTGTATGACTTTGTACCTTAATATGTTGGCTGTATGACTTTGTACCTTAATATGTTGGCTGTATGACTGTACCTTAATATGTTGGCTGTATGACTGTACCTTAATATGTTGGCTGTATGACTGTACCTTAATATGTTGGCTGTATGACTTTGTACCTTAATATGTTGGCTGTATGACTTTGTACCTTAATATGTTGGCTGTATGACTTTGTACCTTAATATGTTGGCTGTATGACTGTACCTTAATATGTTGGCTGTATGACTTTGTACCTTAATATGTTGGCTGTATGACTGTACCTTAATATGTTGGCTGTATGACTTTGTACCTTAATATATTGGCTGTATGACTGTACCTTAATATGTTGGCTGTATGACTTTGTACCTTAATATGTTGGCTGTATGACTGTACCTTAATATGTTGGCTGTATGACTTTGTACCTTAATATGTTGGCTGTATGACTGTACCTTAATATGTTGGCTGTATGACTGTACCTTAATATGTTGGCTGTATGACTTTGTACCTTAATATGTTGGCTGTATGACTGTACCTTAATATGTTGGCTGTATGACTGTACCTTAATATGTTGGCTGTATGACTTTGTACCTTAATATGTTGGCTGTATGACTTTGTACCTTAATATGTTGGCTGTATGACTGTACCTTAATATGTTGGCTGTATGACTTTGTACCTTAATATGTTGGCTGTATGACTTTGTACCTTAATATGTTGGCTGTATGACTGTACCTTAATGTACTTGATGGCTCCCTGTAGAATGGATTGTGTAGCAACTCTCTTATTCTCTAGAGATGGTATACAATGTTGGAGATGGTTGAAGCATTCCCTCAGCTGTCTTCGCCTTTGGTTTAAAACAAAAGAATCATGTACTTTGTGGTCAATGATTGCACTACAAGAATCAAAAAATTTGGATTAGTATGTATTGTATTATATAGTCAATTTTAATTTGCATTTGGTTGGTTGTTAAGAAAATGTAATCATTAAATTTTCTAAACAACCAGCATGTCACATTTACCAAAATAATTCTAAAAATGTCAACAACAAAAAAGCTATACAAATATTTCCATATCAATGTCTATAAAGTGTTTTTGACAGACATTTACAACCAAGGCTATCTATGCAACAAACACAAGATGCTTGTAAGGACATAAGCAGCCTTTTCGGGGGCAGTTTTCTTTTAAACCAAGCTAAGAGACGCACATAAACAAACAGGTGCAGAAGTTTTACCCGCACCAGAAGGTCATGTAACTTCAAAATGTGTCAAAATCAGGATTACGAATTTTTTCACAATTACAATACATCCTTTATATTCCATACTAGCATGTCCGTCTCAGCGTGTGGCTATGATCTCAGGAGAATATCAGAGAATAGTCCAGGGCAAATTGCGCTCAGGCAGGGTTAGGGACCTGGAACATAAGAACCCTATATGAAAGCAGCAGATCAGCCCAGGTCGCCAAAGAAATGAGGAGGTATAGATTAAAAGTCCTAGGATTAAGTGAGACACGATGTAACGGCAGTGGCCAAACTAGGTTGGTCTCAGGACAGACTGTCATCTACTCAGGTCACGAGGATGAAGATCATGAACACACGCAAGGTGTAGCCATAATGATGTCTCCAGAAGCAACAAATGCTTTGATTGCATGGGAACCAGTCTCACCACGACTCATAGCAGCTCGTTTCAATGCCAAGGGAAGGAAAACAACTTTAATCCAGTGCTATGCACCCACAAATGCTGCAACAGATGAAGAGAAAGAGGACTTCTACAGCGCCCTGCAGGCTCAAATCGACAAATCACCAACAAGAGATATAAAGATAGTAATGGGAGACATGAATGCCAAAGTTGGAACAGAAAATAAAGAACGGGAGATCACAATGGGGAAAAATGGAATAGGCATAATAAATGATGACGGGGAACTCTTTGATGATTTCTGCGCATTTAATGATCTAATTATAGGGGGGACAATTTTCTCTCATAAAGATATACATAAGACCACCGGACGTCACCCGATGTCAAAACAAAGAACCAAATTGATCACATCACAGTTTCCAGAAAGTGGAGAAGAAGTTTAATGGATGTTAGGGCGAAACGAGGTGCAGATGCAGCCTCAGACCACCAACTCGTGGTTGCAATACTAAAATTAAAACTAAAATCCTACAGAGATCGAGCTGATAAACCGCACTTTAAATTCAATACAACATTTCTTAGGTGTCCAAAAATAAAGGAAGACTAACTGCGCAGTAAAAAATAGGTATGAAGCACTCTCCAGCCTGGCAGAGGATACAGTAGAGGAAAAATGGCTAGGAATACAGGAACTATGGAAGTTAACATGCACTGACATATTGGGGAGAAGAAAAAATGAACAAAAAGAATGGATCACAACAGAGACATGGGCCAAAATTGAAGATAGAAAAGAGATAAAGCAGAAGATTAACAAAATGTAAGGATGAAAAAGAGAAAATAAACCTCAGAACACATTATTGTGAAGTAAGTCGCATGGTCAGGAAAAGTGCAAAAGAAGACAAAAGACAGCTCATACAGGAGATGATAGAGGAGGCAGAAACTGCGGCACGACAAGGAAAAATGAAGAGGCTCTATGAAGTAACCAGAACACTATCAGGTAAGAACATTAATCCCAACAAACCAGTAAAGGATAAAGTAGGAAATATCTTAACAAGTGACACAGAACAGAGAGACAGATGGGTACAGCACTTTGATGAGATTTTAAACCATCCTCTCTCATCAACCATCCCTGACATACCACCTGCAAATCACCTACTAGATGTGTGTACAGATCCACCCAGTTAGAAACAATAAGAGCAATAAAAAACATGAAAAATGGCAAAGCAGCTGGCCCGGATGGCATCCCACCAGCAGACCCAGCCATATCAGCAGACATACTACATCCTCTACTTAAGCAGATTTGGGAAGAAGAGATAATCCCATCTGACTGGAAACTGGGATACCTGATAAAACTGCCAAAGAAGGGAGACCTGACACAATGCAACAACTGGAGAGGGATAATGCTTCTTTCAGTTCCAAGTAAGGTGCTGACTAGAATCATCCTAGAGAGACTTAGAGATGCCTTGGACAAAAAGCTGAGACAAGAACAGGCTGGTTTTCGTCAGGACAGGTCATGTACTGACCACATTGCCACGCTGCGCATCATTATCGAACAGTCTCTTGAGTGGCAATCCCCCTTATACATGACCTTTGTCGACTTCGAAAAGGCATTTGACAGTGTGAATAGAGATGCTATCTGGAAGTTAATGAGCCACTATGGAATACCCAAAAAATTTATATCTATCACACAGAAACTATATGAAGACTCCACCAGCCAGGTAATACACAAAGGAAAGCTAACAAAACCATTCACGGTGACGACGGGAGTAAGACAGGGATGTATGCTATCGCAAATGATATTCTTGATGGTAATCGACTTGATCATGCGGAGTGCCACAAAAAACGACACAGGAATCCAGTGGAGTTTCACAAAAAGGTTGGAGGATCTTGATTTTGCAGATGACATCTGCCTACTATCTCATAAGCATCAACACACGCAAGCCAAACTAAATCGGCTGTCTGAAGAAGCCTCCAAAATTGGACTAAAAATCAATAAAAACAAAACAGAGGTCATCAGAATCAATAAAAGCCAGGACCTGCCCATACAGCTAAATGGAGAAGATTTACGAAAAACAAACACATTCACATATCTGGGAAGCGTGATCAGTAAGGACGGGGGAGCAGACGAGGGCATAAAATGCTAAATCAACAAGGCTAGATGTGCCTTCAACTCGCTGCGCCCGATGTGGAGGTCCACGGCCCTGTCACTCCGGAGCAAAATTGGGATTTTCAACACAAATGTTAAAGCAGTGCTACTCTATGGCTCGGAGACCTGGAGGGTTACGAAGACAAATACTGATAGGCTACAGGCATTCGTAAACAAATGCCTACGACATATACTCAAAATAAGATGGCCAGACAAAATATCAAACAAAGACCTGTGGCAAATTTTAAAGCAACAGCCAATTGAGAAAGATATTAAGGCCCGTAAATGGGGATGGATCGGACACACGTTAAGAAAAGAAAACATCGCAAAACATGCATTGGACTGGAATCCCCAGGGGAAAAGGAGGGTGGGCCGGCCAAGGAAAACATGGAAGAGAACGGTTGAGGAAGAGGCAAAAACAGCTGGGCTCTCATGGGCACAGATTAGAGGAGCAGCCCAAAACCGAGTCCGCTGGAGATGTGTGGTTGCAGCCCTTTGTTTTAAAGGTTTGCCTATCTTTCACACTACAGCTCATGTAGTTTGGTTGTCTATGCAACAGTGTGTGTTAGTTACTGTGGGACAATCAGCTCTGCAGTCAATTCGTTGTTTTTACAAAACCACTAGTCTATCAAGGAACTCCGCCATTGTCTGGTCCCAAGTCCAGAATGGGAAAGGAGGAGGGTTTTGGGTTTGGGCTAGCGACCCACCATGTAAAAACAAAATCGCTACAGAAAGGGCAACAGATCTAAATCAAACCATCATGGGAGAGCAATCGAGGATCGAGGCAGCTTTGCCTGATATGGCGAGTCTAGATGAAAGCCGCAAGGAAGTCTCTACGCCGAAACAGTCCTTTGTAACCCCCAAAATTATTACACGAATAGGAGCTTGGAATGTGCGTACCATGTACGAAACTAGCAAAACAGCTCAAGTGGTCAAGGAAATATCAAGATACAGGATCAACATCCTGGGTATAAGAGAAATGAGATGGACAGACTCAGGCCTGACTACACTCAGATCAGGAGAAACTATAATCTATTCTGGGAGATCTGATAACCAACACCAGGAAGGAGTTGGTATTATCATGGATAAAATATCAAGGAAAAGTCTAATAGGGTGGGAACCAATCAATTCTCGCATTCTTAGAGCCAGATTCTACTCAAGACATGTAAAGATTACCGTAATACAGTGCTACGCCCCGACAGAACAAGCAAAGGATGAAGACAAAGACATGTTCTACCACACTCTACAAGATCAAATCGACAGGACTCCACAACATGACATTCTTGTGGTCATGGGAGACATGAATGCAAAAATAGGAGCCAGTAACCAAGGATACGAGCTCTGCATGGCTAAGGAGGGGCTGGGAGAGGCAAACAACAACAGCCAAATATTTAGAGAGATTTGCCTAGAAAATGGTCTGGTTATAGGTGGCAGCTTATTTCAGCACAAAGAAATACACACAGATATCCCCAGATAAGCGAACCAGCAATCAAATCGATCACATTGCTATAAATAAAAAGTGGAGAAGATCCATGAGGGATGTAAAGGCAATAAGAGGAGCTGACGTGGGTAGCGACCATAATCTAGTCTTGTGCAAGCTACAACTCAAGCTTAGGAGAGTCGACAGGAAAGTAAACCACCAGCTATTTGACTCAGCTAAACTAAAAGATCCCACCATTAAGGCAAAATTCGCAATTGAACTAAAAAATAGATTTAGTCTACTCGAGAACCTATCAGAAGAGGACACCAATAATCAATGCGAGAAGATCCTGGATGTATACACGAAAACAAGCCAATGTAAACTAGGACATAGGAACAAACAAAGGAATGAATGGATCTCAAACGATAATTGGAATCTCATTGAAAAGAGAAGAGAAGCCAAAATCAAAACACTATCTGGAACCATGGAAAGCAGGGTACGGAACGATGTAGAATATAGAAGACTGCAAAAAGAGGTAAAAAGGAATGCTAGGAAGGATAAAAGGAACTATGTAGACACAATGGCCACAGAAGCACAGGCTGCAGCTGATAAGGGAGATAGCAGAACAGTCTACAAGATTATCAGGACTCTAAC